GTGTACAATTTCTTAAGTAACTCTTACTGAATATTAATAAATTAAAATGTAAAGACTATTGAAATAAAAATTCAGACTCCACATGAAAGTTGAGTGTTGAAGGTACTCTTTTGTGACCATTTTATGCAAGTTAAACATACTGTCATCCAAATAACGTTTTTGTTTTTTCTCTTTTCTTCTTGTTATTGTTTCTTTTTTCCCTGGGCACAAACGGCTTGCTCTATCAATTTCTAGAAATTTAAGTACATTTAATCACGATTTTTCTGTTAAATCTTTTTCTGATACAAATTTTAAAGTTTCTTGCTCTTTTTTTTTTCACTTTCTTCAAACAATATAGGGTTTTCTTTTAATTTCTGTCTAGCTTATCTCATACTAAGTTTTTTCTGTTCCCTTCTGTTTTGCATTTGAACATTTGATTGTTTTCTTTTCTTAAATTTTGGTTTTGCAATTTTTTCCCTAAAATTTGAAGAGAAAAAGAATGTTAAACATCACAGAAATTATTTAGAAAAATTGCCAATATTTACTTCTCCGATAAGAAAAAGTTAAACTTAATTGATTTTCTTTAAAAAAACAAAACAAATTAACACATTTGTTCCATTTAAAAAAATATCAATTAAAAGAAAATAGTTTTTTAATTATTAAAATTGTATTATGGTTATCTAACACATTGTCTCTTACATTGACTGTGTCTTCTCCTCCGTGGACTTGTTATGTCCACGGAGGAGACAAAAACTAGTTCTTGAATTTTTCTGATTTTCAATTTTAAAGTTACAAAAAGGGGGCAGTTCTTTTTGTTAAATATACTATTTTTGCAATCTAAAATTCATCTATCAGAAATAAAATAATTTTCTCTTACCTTCTTTATGATGTCCACGGAGTATACGGTGAGAACTTTGCCAAACCCCAGTTGAACACAACAATCCAAAACTGGCACCAAAGAGAACAAAAACAACTAATATTTAACATTAGAAAATGGAATGGTTACCCCTCCCAGCAGCTTTCTTATAGGGATTTCGCATATACTGCCCTTTATTGCATATTTACAGAACTATATTAATTGTCCACGGAGGGAGACATCATTTTTGATGGACAAAGTTTACTAGTCATTTATTTTATAAAAATAAATTATTTTTTTAAAAAATATTAAATAAACAGTTACTATAAACATTTAACTAGGTAAAACTACAAAAATCATTAAAATAACATTTAAATTGTTTAACAGGCATTAAAAATTATTTTGTGCCACAGACGTAGGGACGTCCACGGAGGGGATTTCGAAGTCATGTTTATTGAAAAATAAGAATGAAATATTAAGTACATTTAGCAGAAATGCATATGATTTGTTAGTTAAGAGCTTCACGAATAATATTAAGAAATCTGCTGTATTTCCTAATATTTATTACTCAGGGACTTAAAAAATCACCTTTTTGTGAGAATGACCCTTATAGTATGACAATATCTCGAATTCAAAATACAGAGTGTCTTAAGAAATTTATTTTTTACAGTTCTCTTATTATTTTGAAAGTTAAACTTTTTCTAACTTACATATTTTAAAACTCTCACGTGTATTTTGAGATGCTATTTTTTGACATTATCAAACATTTAAAAAAAAAAAATTTTTTTTTAATGAAATTATCATTCGTAAGTCCAAATAGTTTGTTATTGTGAGGAAAAATGCTAGTTTTGTGTTGCTTATTTCCCTAGGGAAAAGATTTTTGTAAGATAATTTGGAACACCTGGAATGATACTTTAGGGCTTATCATCAGTTAATTACTTAAAGATTTGTCGGTCTTCTTTATGAGCAATCTTATCAATATCTGACTGATAAAGAAAGCTGGTAGTTTCGATGAAGCATTTTGAACCTCCTTTTTATATAATTAACCAACAGACCTGGTCATGGTGTTTAACAGAGAGGTAAAATATTTACTAGTATTAAGTTTTCAGTTGAAAAAATGTAATAAATTGTTTCGCTAGTAAAGATTTATCGATTAAATTCCTAGAAGTTTTCTTTTTATTTCTTAAAATTTGTTATAAGCATTAAATTCAGTAAAAGTTTAGCAAAATAAAAATAAAAAATTCAACTATTTTAATAAGTTTTCTTAAGATTTTACTAATACTTTTAAAGCATGAGTATTACATAAGAGAATTATTAATATTATGACAGTTAAAGAATTATTGATGTTATGTTTGTTTCAATTGGAGCATGTAGTGACATCGCATTTGTTGATTTCTTATCAATAAATTAAGTTTTTTTGATTAACGAAAGAACAACTTAGCAATTTTGTATTGCTTAAAATTTTTTAATATTTTCCACAAAAATAAAAGAATATTTTGTTTGCAAAATATGCAATTATTGTAATTTTATGCAAGAACATTTTGTCAGTACTTTAATTGTAACAAAACGAATGATTAACTGGTCTTGAAAAATATTAGTCAGTACTTGAAAAATAATAGTCTGTACAGGACTCCTTCGAGTCAGGGAGAATAAGAAAAACCTGGAATTGTTAAGGAATTTTAACCATAATAAGCTGGGAATCGTCACAGAAAGTTGCAACTTTTTACAAGAACCTGTTAAATAATGAAAACGAGTTAAATAATTCTAACATCTGGTTACAATAATTTTATTAAATTCCACTTTTTAGTAAAACTTTTTCATGTTTCCATTATGATTCTGTTACATATTTTTGCTCACAAAATCTAATATTTGATATTACAAATAAAAATAAAAATTCCTTTCTCGGAAATTGAGTGGATTATAGTCTTGCCTTTAAATTTTTATAAAATCTTTCTCTCTGATGGAACTAATACGCATTTGTGTTACATGGAGAGGGAAACCACGTAACCCACCCATGGTTAGCCTCACTGCAAGGGGACTCTAACCCATGATCCGTTTACCACTGAGAATATTTTCCGTCAGCATTGTGGTCGGGTGCGGAATTGGTATCGACCAGCTATGACTGGGATTCGAACCCGGTTCACCTCATTGGAAGATGAAAGCTCTCTGAGCCATCACAGCTCTATCAAACAAATTAGAATTAAAAAAAAAAAAAAAAACTTTTTGCGCTTTTAAAAAAATTGGCCCTTTTAACGCGTCTAGTTACAAGTCTGTAGAATGGCCCGCATGGTATTTTTTACTACAAGTAAACAGCTAATAATTTGCGAACGAATTATTGCACCATCTATCATCTAACTCTCTGTGTATTTTGTACACACCTTCATAATTTTAAGTTTTAATAGTTTTTTGTGCAGAAAAACAAAATGCCGTATAAAGTTGAATACTCAAAAAGTAGGTGGCAATGATTTTTTGATATAAAGCGATTTTAAAGCTTGAAATGTTATTTTTAATTAAATTTTGGCAGAATAACTCATTAAAAGTAAGTATTGCTAAAATTTATTTCAAAAATCAAATAATTCTAATAGATGTACTCCATTTTATTAGAAAAAGAGTTGTTTAACTTTTTCCGGGGATTACACCCTCTTATCCCACTACTCTTACTGTGATCGTGTTTGAGAAACAAGTCATTTTGGAATCGAACAAAAATAAATCAAACTTTGTTTAAAATTTTAATTTATCCATGTAATTAATTCCAGACCATCCTTCCGATCGCCCTGCTCGGAGTATATTTTCTACAAATATCTCATGGCTACATTGAGCCAAAAGAACCAGAAGAAGAAATCATACTTTCTACAGATTCAAATCTAGGTATTGATCTATTTTATTTATGATGAAATATTTTATTTTTAGATAAATTCTATATAGATTGTTACATAGTTAGCATCCTTAATCTATATTTTTACAAACTATGTCAAAAATATAGCAAATACAGTCGGATCCTTATTTAACGAAGTCGCTAAATCCCGATAAGTTCGTTATATGGAAAATTCGTTAAATAGAAAATCTCCTTTTAAAATACTTAAACGACACAATGTAAATTTATAAACACTAGACATAATTAAAATAGCAATTGATATACCTTTATCTCGTAAAGTAGTATCTACTATTTATTTTATAAATCTTAACAATCTGCATGGAAAGCAAGAATAGGGCAAAACATTATCCAGTGTTGCACTATCGTGCAACACGCATTTTCAACTAAAAAAAGCTACATTTATGCGTAAAATTATTGTTGCATTTAATTATTAAAAAACTTTTAAGCATACATTGTCACATGCTTTCTTAAGTTTAATTGCTGTTGATAAAATCCGTTCATTTTGTCTGAGTTTTTCGTTTGAAATGCAAACAAAAAGGGAAAGGGATTTAACTGCTTTCTCTATAAGTTAAGTGGCTTCAAAAATCAATTCAAGGTCCTTTCCCCAGTGAAATGCGTTAACAAGTTTGAAATAGTTCTGAAATAATTTGGGAAAGTGGATCTCAAAGAAAAGTTCGTTAAATAGAAAACTCACTTCGCTCTTTGGAAGTTATTTTACGACGAAATTTTCAAAATGTTTTAGGTTCCTCGAAAAAACTCGCAAAATGGAAGTTCGATAAATAAAAGTCCAACTGTACATTAATTAAGCGTTGCGAATGTTGAACGAAGATGTTTTCTGATAACATATGCACACGTTATTCATGGGTGAAGGCGAAATTAAAACAATCAAAACAAGTTTGATTGCCGAATAAAATTAATACTTAAATACACAAAACTAAAATTCAACGACGAAAAAACTCAAAACTTAAAAAACAGAATTAAAAATGAGCAGAAAACTTTTGTTGTATCCGAAATGATTCAGTTGATAGTGATGCCATTACTTTTGTTGCGTGTGACTCTCTCACAAACTCGACGTTGACTGGTTCAATACATATATCAATCTACAAACACGGTATTCTTTGAACACTGCTCTTAAAATGCATTTCTAAAGTCCTTGTCAGAAATAATAATAAACAATTGTGCACATTAGGGATTATGAGTTAATAAAGCGAAGTAAAACGAAAAATGTATCAAAACCAACAAATCACCACGAAAGAAAGTGGGACTGGAAACATCGAATCCAATTTAGTTGCCTGATAAAACGTAGAAAAGTTTCAAATTCTCCGTGTTTACTCCTATAATCAAACAGATTTTTATGTTGTCAGATGTTCTTTAAATTTCGATAGCGGATGTTTTTCTCTGCTTATTATTTTTTGCGAAAATTTACTTGCGACCTTTAACCAGTAAGTATTTTTGACTTAATTATTCCCATGTATAAAGATATATGTATTAAATGTAGTCATTACAGAACACTCTGAATGTAGAGGCAACAGAAATTTCTAACAAGAAATTATCCCCAGTTTCATGTAAAAAAATCTGCCTGAATTCGCGTCAAAGGTTTTTTAATTAAATTTAACATTCTTCATATTTATTCTTTATGTTCATTCGTTAAAAATTCTTTATTAACTTCGACTCTTCCAATGCAAAATTGCTTACGATTATTTTTTTAAGATGGCTTTATATTGTATATTGTTAAATTACAGCTTATTGCTATTCAACATAGAAATTCATTTGTATTGCAACTTGTTTTTACATTCCCTCCAATTTGGCTAGCAGTTCAGCTACCATCTTACCGCATATTATTAAGGTGTATGTATTGTGATAAAATAAGGATGCAACGATAATTTTGCTAGTAAAATATTTTAGAGTAAATAAAGTTTTGAGTAAATTAAAGCTTTGATATAATTTTTTTTTGGATCAAATGGTTCCTTCAAGAATACAATAAGCTCAAAAAGCCCATTAAAGTGTAAAAGGTTGAACACCTCTGGATTACACACATGAACAATACAAACAGAAGTTGTTGCTTAGTAAACCATTGATTAAATACTACGTCTACTGTTGCTAATGTCTACTGTTCTAGACCAAATATTTGTTAAACGCAGAATCTGACACTGTTGGAAAAAATACAATTAAATTTCCGCCCACCACATCTAAATGCAAGGAGTTAGCTGAAAAATTAGAAACTTCTCTTGGTTCAATAAGCGTTAAGTGATAATGTATTTCAATCCTTGATTGTTGTTCGTCAAATAATTGCTGAAATTCAATGAAATGAAAGGGAAAAAAGCTATAAACGTCATTCCAATGGCTAATAAAAATTATAAAAATAATCCTTTTTAACAGTTTTTAATTCATATTTTACTCTATGACTTACCATGCTTATAACTTATATTTTTCATAAGTTCGACCGACTCAGTTTAACGAGCCCTCTGATTTCTTGAGCTGTTTCAGTCTCTAAGTTCTCCTTATAAACGAGTTCGATTAAGCAACAAAAGATTGGAATATTAATTATAGATCATTAGTAGTACTTACATTTACATAATTTACTCATTTCGTTGTTTATCATTCGAAAAAATGCATATACACTCGTTTTTTTTATCGTGCATCTTGTTATTTACATTTCCGGTGAAACAAAAACCTGAACGGCTAGATACATTCACAAGTGGTATTATCTGAAGCAAGACAGTCTCTCTTCTTTTTTTTATTTCGTTATTTTACACGGATTATTCTTTTAGTAATGTTTTAACAGCTGATACGTTTACGTTGTTTACTGTCAGTTTTCGAAGAATTGATCGCCAATTCAACTTCTAGTTTTCGCAAGAGTTATGTATGTCATGGTGTTTATTTTGTTTATTTGTTGCGTTAACGGGAGTACAAAATTAAATATTCGCAGCGTAAGTAAGTATAGTTTGTTTTTCGTTTTTTTTTTACTTCTTTTTAAACTCCATTCTCTTAGTTAAATAACTTTTTGTATTTTGTGGAAAACTATAAATATTTCAGAAGAAATTTTCATATATTAATTTAATTTTTCGATTTGCCAATTATATCTGCAACACTCGTAAAAAATATGTAAATAACAAAGAAAATTAAATATTTTTTAATTTATTTCCGTTTTTCTGATAGTAAAATGGAAATAAATAAAACTGTTCATATTGGTACGAAAAATGTGAATTCCAAAAAATAAATTTATACATCGCATAATATCTTTTTCCTATTTAGTTAAATATAGTTACCTACAGTTAAATATAGTTTCTATAGTACCTATAGTAGTCTCCTTAATGAGAGCGTCACTTTTTGCCATAATATCTATTAAACAATTTAAGAGAAAAAAATTCATGCATAAAATTATAAAATTTATTCGTCAAAAGATATTTCATACAAATATAACAATTTAAAATTATTTATTATTTGTAAATAATTTTATTGTTTTTATACATTATACAAACTTTTACATAATTTTAATCAATTTAATTTTCTAAGATAAAATCAAAATTTTTTGCACAAACAGTCGAATAATTTTTTTGAAAAATAAAATTTAAATATACGGCATTTTTGGAATTTTATTCAGAAATTATCCCGTCGATTAATTACGTAAGTATCCAAAATTTACAACATCCAAAACTTATGAAAAGAAAAAAAATTTGTTTAAACTAAAAACACGAAGAAAAACGTTATCTCTATCTAACTGCATTAGTTAAATTGTTATAAGAAATATAAAGCAAAAAGACTATCAGCAAAAACAAAATTTTTAAGTACTTATTGAAAGGATATTTTTTTTTACTTGTGTTTCCAAATCATTCAAATACTTAAGGATATTTTTATATAGAGCACTTTTTAAAATGTGCATTATTAGTTTTACTTTCTAAAGAAAATGGTTATTGGAAAACTATTTAAATTTTAAGAGCATGTTATGCTTGCAATATCGATATTTTTGTAATTTTATCTTTGAATTTTTTCATAATTATTCATAGAAAATGTTCTAATCGAGAAATAAGTAAATAAATGCACTGATTTGAAGCGATGATAATTATAATCGTTAATCGAAAAGGTGTTGGAAGAATGCGCACAAATAACAAAATATGTTAGGAATAAAAAAAATTGGATTTCTTTTCACGTTTTTTGAAATTTAAAAGAACAATTCACAAATAGCTATTCTTTGCAATTTTTTTTTGCTTGGAATAAATTATATTTTTAAAAAATAATTCATATTAGAAATTATCTGCTGCTAAAAAAAATTAATTCAATAATAAAAATAATAAAAATGTGAGATAAAATTTAGTTAAACATACTCTACAAAATTTTCTGTTAACTCATTAATATTTCGCTGTTAATGTATGTTAATGTTGGAAAGTTAAATTACCCTGCATTATTTTCTAAAAGTGTTTTGTTTTGTTCTTTCAGGAAATTCTCCATTGCAGTTTTCCCTTGGAGGGTGTCCAAAACAGGAAGGAAAATGTCCGCCAAGGTAGAATTCTACTTGAATTTTTTTTTTTTTTTTTTAACTATTTCATAACAAAATGTACACAATATTTTATTAATCTCCAGTTAGTGACCGGTTTATCATTGTATGTTCAAATTCAAAACAGCTTTATAAATATAGTTTTATATTATAGACGCATTCAAAACAGCTTTAAAAATTATTCTAATAATAAAATTTTATACTGTTTGCTTTACTTTAATAAAATTTTATTTCTTTTAAATAGAAAAGGATAACTTGTTCTTTGCTTAAACATATATTTATATTATTATTTCCCCTATTCTTTCTGCACATTATATATGTTTCTTTTGTTANCTTGTCTTCTGGATTGTGTTCAAAATTCCAAGGTTACGGAATTGAACGTTAGTAGTCGCAAACCCATAAAACTGGGTCAGCTGTTCAACGACGATTAAAATATGAAATAAACTAGTGAGACAATTTTCGCCAAATTGTAGCTGCCTCCCTTAATATTTTAAAAATTAACACCCTAACTCTATTCACTCCATCCTTGTACATGAAAATGAAATCACTACAACAAAATTGTGTTCCTTTATTTATTTTGATCTCTGTACACGTATTAGCACCAAATAATCCATGTTGAGAAACCTTTTAACCATTCGAACAGACATGAAAATCCAAATTTTCAGTTAGTAGCCAGTGGCCGGTAGACCCTAATAACTTAGTAGCCACTTTTTCCTCAAACCTAATGAGTCGAGGACCAATATTGATAGTCCTTTTCCTTTAATAGCTATTATTTGCAATTTTTTTGTTGTTGCTTGGATTAAATGATATCTTTAAAAAAATAATTCATATTAGAAATTATCTGCTGCTTTAAAAAATTAATTCAACAATAAAAATAATAAAAATTTTATTTAAAAAAATTTAGTTAATCATACTGACTTCAAAGAACTTTATCTAAAAATATTTGTAGAGGCAAAATATATTTAATGCATAAGCATTACGACTTTGAAACATGTGAATTGCTTAAAAAAATTTTCTTTCTGCATGAATCTTTCTATCACAAATTGATAAGTTCTGAATGATTAAAATTTGGAATGTGGAGATATTGAACATTTTAATGAAAATTCTGCTTCCCAGAATCTTTCTGCATTGATGTATGTACATTGAACATCAATGCAGAAAGATTCACATTGATGATCATTGAACATCTATCCCAAAAATAAATAAATAAAATTAAATGAATAAATAAAATTAAATGAATAAATAAAAAAAGAGGAAAAGTGACTGCTTGTTAAGTCACCACCAAAGTTGCTTAGTTAAGTCACCACTTTTTTCATTGACAAGATATGTGGCAAACGGGTGGTCATTTTCAGGTTTACATTCGAGACCAAAGGTTTGAAGTCATAAGTCGTATTCAGCCTTGTCTGTTTTTTTAAGACATGTTTTGGAATAGAGTGTTCGAAGGAATATACGCCAATAAACTAGAAGAAGAGCTTGCTGCTTCATCTTTTATTCTTGTTTTTGCCAATAAGAGATAAAGAAAAACGTAGGAGTCTATTACCTAATCACTGAGGGATCTTAATATATGCACATAACATGGATTTTGTTTTTGTAAAAAGTGTTTGAACTAGAAAAAGAAAAGAAAGAAAAACCTTAAAATATTTACTCTACAAAATTTTCTATTAACTCATTAATATTTCGCTGTTAATGTATGTTAATGTTGGAAAGTTTATTTTAAATTACCCTGCATTATTTTCTAAAAGTGTTTTGTTTTGTTCTTTCAGGGAATTCTCCATTGCAGTTTTCCCTTGGAGGGTGTCCAAAACAGGAAGGAAAATGTCCGCCAAGGTAGAATTCTACTTGAATTTTTTTTTTATTTTTTAACTATTTCATAACAAAATGTGCACAATATTTTATTAATCTCCAGTCAGTGACCGGTTTATCATTGTATGTTCAAATTCAAAACAGCTTTAAAAATTATTCTAATAATAAAATTTTATACTTTTTACTTTACTTTAATAAAATTTTATTTCCTTTAAATAGAAAAGGATAACTTGTTCTTTGCTTAAACATATATTTATATTATTATTTCCCCTATTCTTTCTGCACATTATATATGTTTCCTTTGTTAAACATAGATTATTGTATATCCGCTCCCTATTACTCATCATAGATTATTGTACATCCGCCCCTATTATTAAACATGGATACTGTATATTCACCACCTCCTATTATTTAACTCAGATTATTGTATATCTGCGCATTATTATTAAACATAGATTATTGTATATCCACCTCCTATTCGTTCTGCAAACCAATTCTTGTAGTTAGTTCTCATTCATCATTGTTTTTTCCCCGTAAAAGTCCATAAAATTATTTTGTTTATGAAATGATTACTTTATGTAAGCACATCCTGTTAATATGTTAAGTGCAATGGCATGTAAGGATATCTGGATCAATTGTGCTTGGAAATTTTTTTTTAACCTAGGAATACGGAATGTGCGACACTATAGGAGGTAATAAATGTTAAGTAATTGTACTTTATAACCACATATAGTGATATCATACAGCTGTTCAATTGTTATATCTCTAGACAGTTGTTATACTTATACTATTAATTATTCATACTTTTCATTTAATTTTTAATTTTCTTTGACTTTATCCATTTTTTAAAATTTTTTTTTGCCTGCCTTTCTTTCTGAAGTAGCGAGGCGGTTTCTATTTAGATCGCGAATTAAAAAAGTTCTGAAAAGTTCTTATAAAAGTTCTGAAACGACAGAATAAACGTATGGCTGTTTTATATTGACTGGGTCATTTCGTTTGCAACGTTGAATATATTCTTTACATAGCTGTTCATTTACTTTAGGGAACACGTGGAAAATTATATATTTTCCTTTTGTGTTTTTATCAGAATTTTTGCAAGTTGCAATCGCGCAAACTGGCCTTTCGTTAAGAATTTTAAATTTTTGTAATTCACTTCAAAAAACTGAGGAAAGTCATTATAGAAAACAACGAATGTTTTGGAATATGTCACAAAAAGGAATGCCACGATATTAGTTAGAGCTAGTTAGACAGAACGCTCCGTTCTTGAAGTAAAAGTGCCGCCGTGACGTCACAGGAGAAAATCTGAGGTTTCTTCCAAGGAGTGAACCAGCCATTCTATTCTACCTTTAGCCCTGCTTTGCGCCAGTATTTTTTAATCATAATACCGCACTTAAAAATAAAAGATTCCTCTTCGTGTGATGTAGCATTAAAAAATATCAAACAGTAAGTAGAAACTCTTAAAATATTTTTTCATGGTATTTTTCCAAAATATTTAACTAAACGATAAATATTTTTGGCCTGCCATTCAAAAAGTTTGGAAACATGTTGAAATTCGTTTAGCTTCATATTTGTTTAAAAAAAATTTTTTGTAAAAATTAGCTTCCGAATTTTAACCCCTTAACGATCGGTTAATTTTCAAGAAAACTGTCATAAAAGTGCCTATTTTTTTGGATTTTGTATTTGTATTACGCATTTGATTAGTGCCATCTGGTGTGTAAAATGAGAAATAAAATTTTTTCCGGGAAAAAGAAATGAATTAGTTTTATTTTTACTGACTCGTTACTACTGAACACTCCAGCCCGTCAATATCACGGGAGCGAGAAATAGAGGGCGAAACCTCAACCCGTCATTTTCTCGGGAGCGAGAAGGAAGGGGTTAAATAATATAAAATATTATCATGTATATATAACCTAAAGGTATCTCGCTCGATAATATTTTATACAAAAGCAAAATTTAATGATGAAAACTAGAAAATAATGTTTAAAATTGGCACTTTTAATAGGATCGTTTGCTCCTAGTTTTATTTTCTTCTCAGTTTTAAATGTGCAAAAAGGCATTTTAATTTCTCAGTAAAAATATGCTTACTGATGTTTTCTTTTTTACAGCTTTCAAGGTACTCCTCCCTTAATCTTGGTATCATTAGATGGATTCCGCCCTGATTATTTGAAAAGAGGTTTTTCCCCCACTATCAACCGAATTGCTCAGTGTGGTGCAAGTGCTGACTATATATACCCCGTATTTCCTTCCAAAACTTTTCCTAATCATATCAGTATTGCTACGGTAAGTTGAAAAGGATGAGAACTCAATGGTTCTCATTGAGTGGTTCCTAATTTAACAAATTCTTCTTCACATTTTCTACAATTACTTGTTCCAAATGAAAAGAAAATTTCAGGGAGCTTTCTGAAAATTATCAGCCTGATTCCCGTTTAATTCTGATTTTTTAAGGACATGTCTGATCATTTCTTTGAGCATTTCTGGGTGAAAAACTGATTAAACCTGAAATGAAAATTTTTAAAAATAAATTTTCTTTTCGTGTCTACTGTGACTGAATGATAAATAATTTGATTTATTCGTAAATTCGAAGTATTTTAAATTTGCTTTTCATAAAGAAAGACACATTCAGAAGTTGAATTTGACCTGCATTTTAGTTCTTTCCAAGGTAATATTAATTTTCAATATTTCATCGACAAAATTATTGAAGAAGTTCTGATTAATAAGGTGCTCTGTGCATTTCCAATTTCCTGAACCAAATCAGAAAATAAATTTAATTTCAACGAAAAGAAGAAAAAAAATTCCACACTGAGTTTGAACCTTTATAATATGTCATAAGCCATTTCAGTCAAGTTTCACACCAAGATATCACAATGGGTGGAATTTTTTTTCTGTTCTTGCAGAAATGCTTTTTTTTGTTTGTTCTTTTTTTGAGTGTATGGGTGGAAGAGTAACTAAGGAACCATTCAAGTGGCTTCAAAGTAATCAACTAACATATTCAAATATAGCGTTTCAAAACCTGTAAGAAAGTTTTGTTTGAAGCCATTTTCTTCGGATTTCGGAACCTTTCAAACAATGAAGATTTCTTATTTATATAACATGAAAATCTGATAATTTGATCAGAAGTTTTTTAGATTATTCGTTACATTCTTCTTATAGTATTTAAAAGCGTTTTCTTAAGAATTAATTATATTTCCGCAGGGTCTTAATCCAGAATCTCATGGCATAGTGGATAACACCATGTACGATCCGATAACTCAGAAAAGGTTTGAAGCCGGGAATCCAGATTTCTTAAATCCCATGTGGTACCAGAAGGAACCGGTAAGTTACTAACAAAGTAAATGGAGTGTAAAACTCAGCAAAAGTTTTAAAATTTGACTTCTATTTTCTTTTTTTTTTTGTAGATATGGGTAACTGCTGAAAAACAGGGTAAGAAAACGGCTTCGTTCTTTTACTTAGGATCAGAAGTTAAAATTAAGAATGTGTTACCTACTTACTACAAGAAATACGTTTCGTGAGTACTTTATTCAATTTAAAATAGCATCTCTATTAAACATAAAAAGAAAATGGTCAAAAAATACCTAAAAAATACTTTATTTTCGTAAAGGTGGAAAATCCAGAATTTTCACCCATGATTCAATTAGTACGCTTTCTACTGTATTTGAATTAAAAGGATGAAAATTCAATGATTACAGTGTATTGTTTATTTTTAGAAAAACGAGTTTTAATGCCAGAGCTGATCAAATACTGCATTGGTTGGATCTTCCTGCTGCTGATCGTCCTAGTTTTATGATGCTTTATGCAAATCAACCAGATAATGCTGGACACTGGCATGGACCTAACTCAAAAGAAGTGAGGAAGCTGTATCAAAATTTATCTTTGTATTGTTTTATATAATGATATGTTTTAATGGGTGGTAAAGATATCGCCAAACTGTTATTGACGCCAGTGATGTAATTGTCGCATGAGCCTAAAGAAATTTTATTCTAGAAAATTATATAAAACTAACTGTATGAGGCCGGGATAGCCTGGTCGGTAGGGCGCTGAGCCCATGTTCAAGAGTTCGTGGGTTCGATTCTCGACGGCCGAAGACTCCCCGTGTAGTAAATGGTGACTTATGCACGTTAAATCTGTCGAGTCGCAAAAACCTTCATGTTTCCGTAACAAATCAATACCTCTGGAGGTACTGATCCAGGAATTTCCTTGTCTTCTGGATTGGTTCAAAATTACAAGGCTACGGAGTTGAACATTAGTAGTCGTAAACACAAAAATTGGGTCGGCTATTCAACGACGGATATAAAAAAATATAAAAAAAGTTAACTGTAGGTACAATACATATATTCATTTTTAACTTTTGGGGTAATTTTTAAATTTTATGAGTGCTAACATCTAGTTTAAAATAAGCTATCTCTAAACATACTACAAACAGTCTGGGTTTTGCCACCTGGTGTATAGATTGAGAAATATAATCTTTTTGAACGCGTTTGTTTGAAACACTCCAGCTCGGAAATAACACGGGCACGAAAGATAGAGGGCGAAACTTCACCCCGTCATTTTGATGGAAGTGAAAAGGAAGAGATTAATTAATTGAGGTAAATGATATATTTAATAGTCTGGTCTTGTGGTAATAGGTAATAGGCTCTGTAGTAATAGATACCTATTATATTAACATACAGTAGTAATAGTTTTAGGACCCCAACGTGACTTTCGTCAGACATAAGTATTTTTCATAAATGTGTTTTGTTTAGAATATACGCTGAATTTTTTATCAAACTTATTTTATGATTTGGTAAATATTATATTTAGCAATTAGTTATAACTACACTTCACTTTTTGCATTGTTTTTCAAACATAGAATGACGTGCGTTTCGGCGCTTACTATTCTGTGTTTCGCCATTGGAGAAGGTATTTCAGAATAGAAACGATAGTATGGATCGTTTGTTTTAGTTCTATTCATATGCAACAACAAAAAAAGACCATTTTTTGAATTTTGAAAAAAATTTATTTTAAGTGAAAAAGTTGAAGAAATATGCTAAATTAAGACTCGAAAAGTAGGATATCAAAAAACTATTAAAATCTAAAGTTTTATGAGATTCTTAGAATTGTGTTTACTGAAATATTTGTCAAATGCAAGGAAATTATTAAAAAAATTAATAAGAAGATACGTATTCTCTTTTTTGAAATCGCAAAAAACTTGACATTGCATTTTCTCGCCAGATGGTAAAAAAACAAACAAACTTCAAGCTTTTCCTCTGACAGAACTGACAACACAGAACAGTTGTTGTTTGTTAGTTGCTGACATTCCTCACGATGTTGATCTAACAATCATTAATAATCCTATTTTAATTTTATTCGCAAATAAATGATTTTTAATTTAGCATGCTCCTTGCTTTTTTTATTGCATTATTTATGTTGATTTGGTAAATTCGAAATTTATTTCACTAAATTAACTTCATCAGTTACAAACTTCTTGCACTTTCTTAGTCCAAGCTAAAAACGCGAAATATTAGATTACTAGGAGGCTCCGCCCCCTGCTCGCTAACGCTTGCCAACGCCCGAGAATCGCTACGCAATCCTATGTGGTTCACGCCGTGAACCATGGCTCGCTGCGCTCGCTCGCCAATGAACACAATGTTCTAGCACAAAGACATAGTATATTATCATCAAAGACATAGTATTTTATCATCAAAGACATAGTATTGTACTTATGTAGAAGAATTCTACCAATGTTCTTATTGGCTTTTAAAAAAGTATATTAGCTATTTAGATTGTACATGGTGAAAAAATCAAAACATTAGCTAAATAAGAAACATATTAGCAAAATAAATTATCAAATATTGCTTCACTAATATTCTGCATTTTAAAGCGTGAAAATTCAATGCATAAATAAACGCGAAATATAAAAAAATTCAATGCATTCAATACAAACACTTAAACGTTTTTTAGACGTTTAGGTAGCTCCCAGTAGAAAAATATCAATTCAACAGCGGCCTTTTAAAGCATTCTCACTTCAATTAATTAATTAATTCCTAATTGAGTTTAAATTAAATATTATCATGTTTTTAGGGCATGAATCTGAATTGAACAACCTGATAATGCTCACTCTGGTTATTGTTTCCGTTTTTAAAAGCGCTATATGTTGAGCCACCTCATGTGACATTTGCCATGTGACATATTTAGCAGCAATCATTGGTCGATTTTCTAACGTTGCCATTCGGGGAGTTGTAATGAGGCTTTTTTTTTTGGTGCCGTGTAAGAGAAATATATATATAGATGAACCGAAAGAAGGTGATTGCGCCATTTCTTTGTTCATGTCAGACAAAAAGTTTATTGATTTTATTGAAATTACATACATTTGCTGACTTGTGTGCTCAATATAGGCTTATAAGTCATTGTCAAGTAGAAAATACAGATAGAACAATTCAGAGAAAGACATCACAAAGAATACATCCAGGGTTACGGCGGGATTCAGACAAAAAGTTGCACAGATGTCACGAGTCGTTGCTCGTCGATAGCCTGTCACCATTTCATCAACAGCAACGATGATCTCACGAAAAATCTCTTTTTCGGTCCTATCTACAACGTTTGGGGTGTGCAAATATTGTAATGTTGCATGCCTTTTAACGAAAAGTATAATTTCAGCACAACCGTTACACAATGCTTTCCATAAACAGTAAACATTTGATGACAGATAACCGAATAAATAATCTTCTGCCACTAAAAACCGTACAACTGCGCGTTGTTCTGTTCCGGACACATCCATTTCAGTACCACTTTAAATTAGCTTTAAATGCCTTCATGCGAATGAGTTAGTAAATTATACACAATCTACGGTTCATTCCTTTTACCATAATTTTTAACACTAAGGGGTGGTGCTGCTATAGTTACTGCATTTCTAAAGCTTTAATCGGCTCAAGTCTTACGCCTTAAAAAGAGAACATTGGATAACATTAATAAACTGTTTCGATTTCTAGTTGAATAAATTTCTGCGAAATGATTTTAGAAATAGGTTTCGATTACATAGTAATATAGTATTTACTACTATAGCTGATATACCGTTATTTTTCCATATGCAAAACGAATTGCTGTATTCATTTTTTTTCCTCTTTGAAATGCATCGAAATGAGTTTACAACTGTTTAGTAATTTTAGTTTGTTTATTATTTTATGTACTTACAAGGAAATAGTCTGTTGTGTTTAAGTGAGATTTTTCCTCAAATAATCTATTGCACTTTGGAAAATTTAATTAAATTCCTCACTGTTGCTAACCAACTGAGAAGTATATAAATTTTTATACTTTGATACCAAAAATTTCCTTTAAACATATCATGAAATGTTCCCTTACAAATTAAAAGTGAAGACGTCCCTTTTTTAATCGGAATGTTTATTCAACAGGTGAATCAAGCTGTGATAAAAGTGGATCAAATGATTGAAAGACTCTTCTCCGGTTTACAATCCAGAAATTTGTTGAATTGTGTCAATGTCATCATTATGTCAGATCACGGTAAATGAGGAGAAAAGGAATCTTAATTTTTAATTTCAGAAACACATATTTGAAATTAATTGTGCTTTTTTAATGATTTTCTAATTCAAACTTCTATATTTGTTTCAGGTATGTCAGACATTGATTGCAATCTCGTTGTTAACATTGGAAAGTACATCAATGTCTCGAATACAGATTCATTTATGGGCCCTCTTGGCAGAGTAAGCCCCAAAGACAGAAGTGATACTAGTAAGTTTTCAAGTTGGATTTAAACATAGTTACAAATTTTAACCATTAAATTAAGAGTTGAATATTGAATCTGAGAATCATATCAATGACTCGTATATTTGATTCGATAATTCAAATAAGCTGTCCTAATATGTTCAGTTAAATCAGTGTTTTTAATTATATTTACTGAAAATTTGCTACAGCATTGATTTGAATCAGTAATGTTGGTCTATTTATTTAAATCCTTCGAATTTGTTATGAAATTTGAAGAAGAATCGTTAAAACACGTTTCGAAACATTGATTTCAATTAATCTATTGAAATTATTTATGTAATATCTGTTATCTGATTTCTTTCAATAACACAAATGAAAAATTTTACAACACTGAATTGAATCAGTAATTTTAGCCTGTTTATTAGAATCACTTGCGTTCTATGACTGATTTAAAAACTGCTTTGAATCGATAATATATGATCTTTCCAATTCAATCAGGTGATTATGTTCGGTAATTTGAAAAAAAAATCGGTTATAACATAATTCGACTCTGGTTTTAATCACTGCTGATTTATTTTAACCTCAGTAAAGGGTCAAGCAGAAAATCATGTTCACTTGCAAATTCCGCCTTTTTATACTTATGAATTTCAAGATGCTATAATGTAATCAGAACGGTAACCTAGTTCCATGAAGCATCTTAATCAAGTTGTATCAGGTTATAACATTTATAATTTGAATAACTGAATTAAGTAACTTGATTTATAACTTATATTTTGGTTCAACTTTAAATCTCATGATATTAAACTTATAGCAGTGAGTTTTTTGATTATATTATTTAATAACTACTCTAAAAATTACAGTTCTAATTATTGGAAGTGGATGTTTTTTACGCAATTTCTTCATTGTTATTTTTACACTAAATTTTTGCATTTGTCGTCCTCTATAGATGCTATCAATAGTATGATAGAGAATCTGCAGTGCCAGAGCGAACATATGAGAGTATTTCCTAAACAGCAGAATCCAGTCAGATGGCACTATGCAAACAATGACAGAATCGAACCCATCTTCTTGCAGATGGATACCAACTGGAATGTTGTCGGGTGAATCCTTTATGATGTTTACATTGATGGCCTACATTACTTTGCCATTATTATATACATGTTTATTAACATCACTTTATCTATAACTTTTAGTACTTTCTATTACATTATTCTATTTGGTACAGTGAGTAAAAAAAAGAAAGGCATCACCTTGAATAACTTTTGATCTAATGATCGAGTCTTTACATTCTAGGACTCAATTTTAATGGTTCGAGGGGGTGACCTCAAATTAATTAGTGCAGGCAATATTTTAAGTAAACGAAATTAGACACAAATACGTACTTCGGATTACGATTCGGATTACTGATCCCAAGAATATAGGGGTAGCCGCAATCTAGGAAATATGGTCACAATAATACGGTAATAAAAGACTCCAATGCTTGCAGCCATTAAAGTCAATTTTATTTATTAATTTATTTTTGCGCGTATTTCACCATGTCACTTGAAAAATATAATGTTGTTAAAATAATGTAAAAATTTATTGAAATTGAGAAAATTGATATTTAAAATAAAGTATAAAAGTTGTAGATTTTGCAATCTAAATTTGTCGACTATTATTAAATAAAGTAATGAAATATAATAAATTTCTTGCATGGAATTTTCTTTAGGTAAACGAATTTTATATTTGTGTGCAAAAATCTTTTCAAATCACTTATATCGAAATATGGCGAAATACGCAGAAAACAAAATTAACATTAATGAGACCAAATTTTGGACTGTTTTCCTGACCAAACTATGGGGACCATATTTTCAAAATGTTCCAATTCCTATAATTTGTGGGTCGGAAATCCAAATCCTTCGAAAAGAAGGTATGTTTATTCGTCGAAAGAAGGTATGTAAAATATCGTCTGCACTGATTAAATAACATATTTGAAGTCACTCCTTCGAATCATTAAGATTGAGTCCTAGAGCATGACGATCCAATCATTAGATCAAAAGTAATTCAGGATGGTCCATTAATTTTTTTTTGCGCAATTAACACTGAAATTCTGTAATATTTTTAATATGTTATAAATTGTATTGTATCTGTTTATAGCTCTGAAGTAAAACCTGGAGATGAAATTTGTACTGGCGGTACACACGGATACGATAATTACTATCCTGAAAGTAGAGTAAGTTGATTTATTATTTGCCGATTCCGCAATCAATTCGATAATGTGAGATAAATAATGAAAGAAATTAAGATAAATTTAACTAATTATATTAATATGAACTATATTGTCTGAACTATATTGTTTTTGTATTTCCTAAGAACTATTAAGGTATTCAAATTGCAATATAATCTATTCACAATTTAAATTTTTCAGGCTATGTTCATGGCAATGGGTCCTTCCATTAAACCAAACCTCAAAATCAAGCCTTTCATCAATACTGAGTTATATGAATTGATGGCTGGTAAATATCATTTTAAAAGAAAAAAATGCTTCTTAATGCTATTTAGATCACACATATATTAATTATTTTTTTATTAGAATTGATTAACATAAGGCCTGAGCCTAACAATGGAACTCGAGGAAGTTTACACCATATTCTAAAAACGCCAAAGAAGTTGCCAAATCAACAGCAGCATGACCCACCGGCTACCGGAGTTGTTCCAACAGACAACCAAGAATATCACTTCAGAGTCTACGCTGCAGATTGTTCTTGCGCGCAGGTATTGTTATCTTAATGCGTTAAAAAATTGATACCCTATAGTTCTGAGGCAACTATTGAAAACTATATTTTCAAATTTTCGTGTTGTATATATAACATTGTGCGTGTGAATATATATATATATACACACACGCAATGTTATCTTCATAATATAAATTTGCAATTGGTTATTCAGGGGATTTCACTCTTTCGTATTGTGAGGTATCTCAAACAACTAAATTGCAAAATTAAACATGATATATTTCGTAATGAGCGTTCATAATATATAGTAAAAAAATAAAAAAAACGAAAACTGCTCACATTAAAAGACAGAAGCTACCATTTTGAGCGTTTGCCTTTCCAATGAGTTCGAATCCCAGTGATGGATAGATACGAATTTCGCACCCGGCTACCATCGACCACAGTGCTGACAAAAAATATCCTCAGTGGTAGACGAATCACGAGGTAGAGTCCCCTTGCCGAGAAGCTAACCATTGGAGGTTTTCCTGTTTTTCCTCTCCGTGTAACTCAAATGAGGGTTAGTTCCCTTAAAAAATCCTCTAAGAAGGCAAATTTCTCCCAATACTTGATCCAGGATTTCCCTTGTCTTCTGGATTGGGTTCAAAATTACGAGGCTGCAGAGTTGAACGTTAGTAGTCGTAAACCCAAAATTGTGTCGGCTGTTCAACGACGGTTATAAAATAAAATTAATTATAATTTAAACATTCTAGTGTTACTTACATTTCATATTTTTTTCAGGCTCATAAACAAGTGGAGGTGTCCGATAAAGCTTATAGGCGAGATCTTCATCTTCCCTTTGGCGTTCCATACAGCGCACAAGACAACAATACACTTTCCTTGCTGTACAACGAAGACAATGTAATCGGATATGATAAAAAATATAGAATTCCTCTGTGGACATCCTTCAATCTCCAGAAAAAGGTAAAAAAATGCATTACGATGTAACGCGATGCATTAACGCTTTCTGGGGCTGTAATTTAAGAACTGTCCCGCTTAATTTGGGTATTAATGCAAACGACTATAATTGTAATTGCTTTTTTTCTTAAATTACGCAAGTTTTAAAGTTTAAAGAAATGCTGGGATAAAGTACATTTTTTTTTTAATTTTGAACGTGCATACGATTACCATACTATGGTGCGCTTTGACTAAAATGTTAATTTTTTTAAATTTTTTGCAAAGGGTTACTTACTTTTTTGTTTCGAAATTTAGACTTCGATCTTGAATTCCAGTTTAAAGCTTAGGCTTTCATTTCGCAATATTTTTGTATGACTGTATGATGTCGAAGTCTTTTGCTGGGGCTATGGATAAGTTAACAAAAGGAATATTATTTCAGATACTTTGACTATGATATCCAAATAGATCCAAAATTACGCTGTGTCTATACAAATATTTTGAAATTCGAATTTCACTTTTGTTCTAATCAGAAATACACTGTCACACGTAAAGAAATTATTCGCCAGTTAGATTGGCTAGTCAAGTCTCCAGGCTTCAACTCAAATGATCTTGACTGAGAGTGTGTGTAAAAGCCCTTGCCGAATAACTTCACGGACTAGAAACCAGAATTGCTGAAGAAGGGGAAACGATTTCCACAGAAACTTCAACTGCGTTATTCCCACTATGAAATCACGTTTTTTGTCTTACATTCCTTTAAGAGAGAGTCATACCACCTAATGATCCTCTTTTTTTTTTTTTTTGATCGATTCTGTTACAAATGGTTTTTACATTCTGACCCTTAAGAGTAACGTACTATCATGCGCGTGTTTTACGACTATTGAAGTTTTGTATTATATCGATCAATGTTCATAACGAATTTCGTTCAAATCCATCTACTATTTTCAGTGATAATAGATTTGGAGATTTTTAAAATGTCTCCAAGTTTATAGTTTGGAGATTTTTTAAATGTCTTGGACCTGAGACTCAAGAACGAAATAGGATTTTATAAAATAGTTAATAATTCTAAAAGTTTGTTTTCAATAATATGTTNACTCTTTCGTATTGTGAGGTATCTCAAACAACTAAATTGCAGAATTAAACATGATATATTTCGTAATGAGCATTCTTAATATATAGTAAAAAAATAAAATAAACGAAAACTGCTAGCATTAAAAGACAGAAACTATCATTCTGAGCGTTTGCCTTTCCAATGAGGTGAACCGGGTTTGAATCCCAGTGATGGATAGATACGAATTCCGCACCCAGCTCGCATCTACCACAGTGCTGACAAAAAATATCCTCAGTGGTAGACGAATCACGAGGTAGAGTCCCCTTGCCGTAAGGCTAACCATTGGAGATTTTCATGGTTTTCCTTTCTATGCAACTCAAATGCGGATTAGTTCCTTTAAAAAGTCCTCCAAGGAGGCAAATTTCTCCCAACACTTGATCCAGGATTTCCCTTGTCTTCTGGATTGGGTTCAAAATTACGAGGCTGCAGAGTTGAACGTTAGTAGTCGTAAACTCAAAAATGGGTCGACTGTTCAACGACAGTTATAAAATAAAATTAATTATAATTTAAACATTCTAGTGTTACTTACATTTCATATTTTTTTCAGGCTCATAAACAAGTGGAGGTGTCCGATAAACCTTATAGGCGAGATCTTCATCTTCCGTTTGGCGTTCCATACAGCGCACACGACAACAATACACTTTCATTGCTGTACAACGAAGACAATGTAATCGCATATGATAAAAAATATAGAATTCCTTTGTGGACATCATTCAATCTCCAGAAAAAGGTAAAACAATGCATTACGATGTTACGCGATGCATTAACCCTTTCAGGGGCTGTGGTTTAAAAACTGTCCCGCTAATTTTGGGCAATAATGCAAACCACTATAATTGTAATTGTTTTGTTTTTTTCTTAAATTACGCAAGTTTTAAAGTTTAAAGAAATGCGGGGATAAAGTAAATTTTTTTTTTTCATTTTGAACGTGCATACGATATACCACAGTTACTATGGTGTTCTTTGACTAAAATGTTAATTTTTTTAAATTTTTTTTTTTGCAAAGGGTTGCTTACATCTTTTTCGAAATTTAGGCTTCGAACTTGAATTCTAGTTTAAAGCTTAGGCTTTCATTTCGCAATTTTTTCGTACGACTGTATAATGTCGAAGTCTTTTGCTGGGGCTATGGAAAAGTTGACACAAGGAATGGTATTTCAGATACTTCAACTATGATATCCAAATGGATCCAAAAAATTACGCAGTGTTCATACAAATATTTTGAAATCAGAATTTTACTTTTGTTCTAATCGCAAACACACTGTCACATGCAAAGAAATTATTCGCTCGATAGATTAGCTAGCCACGTCTCCAGACTTCAACTCAAATGATCTTGTCTGAGAGTGTGTGTAAAAGCCCTTGCAGAATAACTTCAAGGACTAGAAACCAGCATTGCTGAAAAAGGGGAACGATTTCCACAGAAACTTCAACTTCGATATTCCCACTATGAAATCACGTTTTTTGTCTTACATTCCTTTAGGAGAGAGTCATACCACCTATTGATCCATTTTTTTTTGTTTGATTCTGTTACAAATTTCTTTTACATTCTGACCCTGATGAGTGTTACGTACTATCATGCGCGTGTTTTATGACTATGTATTATATCGATCAATGTTGAAAACGAATTTCGTTAAAATCCGTTTACTATTTTCAATGATAATAGATTTGGAGATTTTCAAAATGTCTCCAAATTTATAGTTTGGAGTTTTTTTAAATGTCTTGGACCTGAGACTCAAGAACGAAATAGGATTTTATAAAATAGTTAATAATTCTAAAAGTTTGTTTTCAATAATATGTTAAAATAATTAAAATTGAAAAAAAAAACAACATTTCTTTTCAACTTTTAGTTACTTTTTGCTTCAGTGTCGGAATGCTACAATGATTACTTTCTTTATTTGCTGCATTTTAGAGACATGTTTCCAAAGTGGGTACTGTTTGCTTCACCGGGGATGCCAGATTACCATATGAGGACACAGCAAAATGTAGTGATTATGATAACCCTGCTGTTAGGAATATGACGATCGTTCAACGACCTCTTTACCCTATAAGTAAGTTTTCAAAAAAAATGAACAGTTAATCTTGAAAGTATAGTATGTGTCTAAATATTTTTCTTACATTTTAATTCGAAGAAATAATTTTACAATAACCATTTTTTTTAAAGTTTAAAACCATTTTATTAAATTTGATAAGATATTTCTGAATAATATGGTAAATGGTAATTTGTCTTTGCACAATCCTCTATTAAATGAATCCATTAAATTTGCGTATTTAATCCAGTAAAAATTAGACTCTTTTCTTTGGAGAAATCAATACCAAAGATTTTTCTCCATAGAAAGCTTTGCTATGTCCTAGTATCTGAAAAATCTTCTGTTCTTCTCTGTATGCTTCCCTCCTATTTTCAGGAAAATGATTTGTTATGAGGGTCTAGCTAATTCATATATTCAGAGGAGCTTGCTAATGAGACATTGCTTCTAATGTATGTTTCCATAGAATTGAATGAGAGCAACTGCGAGACGGTCAGAAAAATATTTTCCAAGTTATAAGGGTTTTGCATGCAAACATACATATTTGTATTTTAAACTTTTTACTCGTCTGATATATCTATCAAAAAAGTTCGGTATTGTTTCCTATGTATTTTTATGGAACTATAAGCGAGTCAATTGAACGAATAATTCGAAGCGCTTTCATGTATAAAAAGTGCTATTTTTGATACGATTAATGTACACTATTTACTTTGCTATATAGGGACTATCTGAAATGTGAGGTGATTCCAATGAAAATTTTCATACTGAATTGAGTTAGATAAAATACAGTTGATTGTATAAATAGGTAGTCTTCAAGTTATATGGCTTTTCTTCCTAATAAAGGCAATGCCTCATTTGCCTATATATCAATGTAAGATGTGTAAATATATTCAAGTACAAAATTGTACTCTGTACTTAAAAGGTTTATAACTTCCAATCTTTTAATTTGATCTCTCATTCAACTCAGCGTAAAAACTTTCATCAGAAACAATACCTTAATTGTTCAGATAGTCCACAGCCATTATTTATAATGACATAATAAAGCTTTCTGTGAAAAAATATCTTGGGTATTAATTTCTCCAAAGAAACACCTTGCTTTTACTATGATTACAATAATAATAATCATTAGACAAAATATCGCATTTAGTATCAATTTTTATTCTATACAACAAGTCATAGATGTAGTTGATTTTTTTCCCTTATTTATTTTTAAAACTTTTCACATAATAGAAAAATTATTGAGAAAATTTAAAGATTTTTTCAAACATTTTCTTCCAAAAATATTCTTTTTATTAAAATGTAGATTTTAGGAGAAAAAAATTTATTATTATATTTGGGAAATTCTATCTTTTCTTTACTATTCTGAACGGATTGTTTTTACACTTCATACCAATTAAGAGATCATAACGTGAAATCCATATTACAGCTCTAGATGACGTTGTAGTTATTTATACTATATATTAGAGCATTCTTACAGCATTCTTCTCACGCACTTAATTGCGCTATATGTTAGAGCATTCTTTTCTATAACGATTACGAGGTCATAGAGTGAAATCCATATTACAGCGATAGATGACGCTGTATATATTTGAGCATTCTTATAGCATTCTTCTCTCGCACTTAATTGCGCTATATGTTAGAGCATTCTTTTCTATACCGATTACGAGATCATACATATTACAGCGATAGATGACGCTGCAGTTACTAGTAATATATGTCAGAACTTTTTTCCCATACCAATTACGAGATTATAAAGTTAAATCCATATTACAGCACTAGGTGACAGTGTAGTTACTTGTAATGTAAGTTAGAGCATTCATTTCCATACTAATAACGAGATCATAAAGTAAAGCCCATATTACAAAGCTAGGTGATGCTGTAGTTACTTGCATATGCTAGAGCTTAGTCTTTTTATTATATTGTAGATAAACATGTATTCCATAAATTTATTCTTATTCCTTGAAACGTTGTTTGAGGAAATGAATGCTTCAAAAACCGTTTTAATAAGTCGAATGATACATTCATTTCCTAATTTGAATTTTCACATTACGTAGGTTTCTCAGAGTCTGCATCCGCAATAGAACAAGGTTTACATATTTCAAATTCTATTCCTAAATCACAGAAACACAGTTATTATTTGGAAACAGAAATGAACCGAATACTCAACGGATGGGCTGCACAAAGTGGCTCTCTGAATGTCGTGATGGGTCCTGCTTTTGATGTGTCTGCGAATGGTTTGAAACCCTCCATAGGAGATATCATGTGAGTATAATTTACCATACCAGTTTCGGTCAAAGTTAACATATTGACAGCAGAGCGGTAGCGTAATCATAAATAATAAATAACAAATAATAAATCCAAGTTAGGTAAAAGAAGTAGACAAAAAAGAATTATATTTCAACTACTTTGATGTGCTATTCGGTGCTGTATATAATTAATTTCACGTTAATTAACATTCTAACTTATGGGGAGAAACTAAGCTCAACTTTACCACGCCATTTTGCTTACAACTATGAGCTGATGCTGACGTCATAGGTCACATGTGTAGGTATCCGAGATCTTCTTCTTGAAGTTACTGAAGTTCTGTCTACATCTAAATCGTTATAAAGAATTACTAACTAATTAATTGCAAACGGTTTCATGGTTAGGATTGGTTTTTGCAAACGGATGCTATGAGATATCATTTTCAGGGATGCCAACTTGCTCCGCTTTGTGAAATAGTTTTTCTAGTGGTAACGAAATTTAAGTTATTTTCAGTTTAGTATTTTTCATTTTAAGTAATTTTGTCACCACTACATATNTCGGTTTTATTGATACATACGTACGTATTAGCGTTTTATATAATATAGATAGATTAATTGCAAACAATTCAATGGTTAGGATTGGTTTTTGCAAACGGTTGCTAATGAGATATCATGTATATATTTTTCACCATATCACGTTTACTTAAAGTAAAGATTTTGTTTGCACACCGTTGCCTAATTCTAACTAATTCTATAAATAGCTGACTTATTGACTACAAAAGGTTTGAAATCGTCAATAAGAGGTATAACGTAAATATAAATATTTTATCACCACTTCTGCTGATGGTTACTACTGATTTTGTAAAATATTTTTAAAACTTCTCTTAAATAAAATGCATTTAAGACGATCGGTGCATTTAAGACTACGCTCTTTCAACAATGTAATTTTTTTAATATGTATAATATATATATTGTTCAAACTCTCTAATTTTTGGAACTTTATTTTAAAGCGAGATTAAAATAGATTGGGCTAATAAAAAGTTAGACAGAAATAAGTAAATATGCTATAAATGAATGAATTGAACTCAAATTGCGGAACTATCCAAAAGAAAAGCAAAAGTAGTTCCGAGAGTTGTCAAGTGTAGAGCGCTGGATCTTAGTAGTTTTTAAAAGAACTGTCCTTTATGTGAACTGTATGAAATTGTACTGAGTAAACGTTTATAATAAGTATATAAACTATTGCAGATGTATCAAGTATATTCCTTTTTAATGCAAATTAATGAAAGTGTATTTAATTCCTTCTAACAGGAAGCTGCACGAAAAGTATGGTCCGTTAGTAGTGCCAACACATATATTCGTAATAGCAACTTGGTGTTCTGAACGCATCGACTCTTTGAAGCATTGTGAACCATCCAGATTGGAGACGAAAGGATTTTTATTACCAAATGACCCCTTTGTTGAGAATTGTGAAGTAAGTTGTGAATCGGTATTTTGTAAATTTAAAATTATAAGTTTGCATATTACAAATGGTAGTGTTCCACAAACAAAACTGAAAGAACTATTTCTGATTACTCTTAAATATGGACAGTCTATTTGACCTTAGTATTTTTTAACATAAAGAATATACAATTTGCTTATTTTTCTTAGGAAATTATAAGTACTATGTAATTCCTTATAAGTTTCCAAATTAGTTAGAAAGTTAGTTAACAAATGACGCAGCTGATTGGATAACGTTTTCTGCTGCATTTCAGAATATTTAAGTGAAAAATATTTACACAAAATTATGCTAATTTTGGTCACTAACTGCTCAATATTGTTTTGCAGCTTTTTCTACCTTGCAGGGCCATCTGTTGAAGAAGTTAGTTACTAATTTTGAAACTTTGTGAGAAGAAATAGCATGTTCCAAAGAAGAACACAACGAACCGTGCATTTGTGTCTCCCTCAGTTTTTCTTTAATTTTATTTATTCATTTATTTTTAATAATTGGTCATCTTTGGAACACTCTATTATTGAGTTTGCTTAGTGGGAGAACATGATAACTGACATATTTAGTGAAAATGATAAAAATTAGTTTTAGAATGCGTAGAAGGTTCAAGAAAATATTTCTCCGACTTGTACGCTTACTAAAAACAATAGCTTCAAACCCTCCCGCATAAATTTATTGTTAATATGAATGAAAATTACGCATAATTTAAGCATTTTAGAAAATTCTTTATATTAAAAGTTTTAAATTTCTAGAAAGTACTGCCCAAATAGTTTAGGCGAGAGAGCAGTCTAAAGTTTGGACCACTGGTTTATATTAATTTGTTATTATTTGCTATAATTTTTTTTTTCTAATAAATATTAATTTGTTATATGAATTTATTAATTATTAGATATTTAATTAATTATCTTTGCGTTTTTGGATTGGACATTTAAAAAAATTCTTACCTATTACACTATTATTATTTTTTCATTTTTCAAACACGTATTTAATAGAATGAACATAATTATTTGAAGGATTGGAGACAAAATTTAACTCGTTTTTATACTAATTATGATTATTTCACTTTAAAATAATTAAATACTGAATTAATTACACCGTAATACACAAATCACTTTGTGCAGTGATCCGAAAAGAAAATGTATAGGCGCAAAAACGTATTTTTACTGAATAAACATTTTTTTTTTTGTTGAGAAATTCGAATTCCTGATCTTCAAATTATACGAGAGGTAACCGTAATCTGAAAAATAGGTTCCTTATAGTGTACGTAAGAAAGTAGTTGAAAATTCTTTAAACGTTAATTTTACTCTTTGTGTACAATTATAAAATTTATTTATTTAAAGTTGATTCCATGTAAAAAAAATAATTTTAATAATTACCTGTTGTAATAATTATTTTATTTAATGAGAGTTGAAAAATTTTGTATTGAAAAATATGCAAATTTAAATAATTTTATTTTAAATTTCAAAATAAAAATAAGAGGGAAATTGGTCGAATAGTTCTTGAGTTATAGAGTTTTAAAATAGCCTTACGTTTCTTAAGAATTATTCGACTCATTTTGTCTCCAGAATTTTTATACGATCCTGTTCATTCGAATATGATCTTTTCCATTCTCTTGATAACCTAAGATATTCTGATAAATGGGAAACGTTCTGTGAAATGCATTATAAGTATTTTTCGTAGAATCTGTGCAGATACGCTCCGTAGCATCCATGATCAGTAAAAAATAGGCTTAAAGAAAAGTTTCAGTGCAACCTTTTTGTTAAGCGTTGGACAGGAACTTGTATAAGTGTATACCTTTTGTTTCTAGATTGTTCCGGCATTTCTGTATAATGTTTTTGTATTTTTTGTTAGGCGATCTTTAACGTTTTTAGCTTGATTAGGTAAATTTTATTTATGATACAATAAAATATCATAAATGAAGCAATGAGCACTGATTCCACTTATGCACGATATTTCAAGAATATGAAACATAAGAATGCTTTTTGAAAAGGCATTTCTGAAGGCAATTATATTTAATCAAAAGCGATCACAGAAATAAACTGCGATGATAGTATTCTACTATTCATAAGGAACTTTACATTTGTCAAGAATATGAAATAAAAGAATATCTTTTAAAAAATGATACAATATAAAATGCTCTTATACACGTTATTTTCAAGATTATAAAATATCAGAATATCTCATAAGAGGCAGTTCTGATACAACAGAATCTTTTAAAAATATCTTTAAAAAAATTATACAATATAAAATACTCTTATACACGTTATTTTCAAGATTATAAAATATCAGAATATCTTATGAGAGGCAGTTCTGATTGAGCAGAATCTTTAAAGAAATATCTTTTAAAAAATGATACGATATAAAATACTCTTATACACGTTATTTTCAAGATTATAAAATATCAGAATATCTTATGAGAGGCAGTTCTGATACAACAGAATAAAATGAAAAATTACTTACTGTCCTGGTAAATGTACTTTTGTGATTATTTTATTAACCTTTTAAAATATTATTTATGTTCTTAATAATACTTTTTTTTTAGATTCCCAATGACATGATTGAGAGGAATTCAGCTCGAGTTGTGGATATTGAAAATTTAACTGGGCTCTCATTTTTCACGGATCTGCCAACTTATGACGCAATCAGGTTGAGAACTGGAATTCCACAAAGATCTGTCTCTTAAAAATTACTTTATTCCTAAATCCATGTACAATCCATGAACTTTCAAAAATAAATTACATCATTTTTAGTTCGTATTGTTTTGCTGATATTTTTTTCAAACACTTTTTTTTTACTCTGATGTTTAAGAACACTATTATTTTGGGATAGTATTTAAGGAATTTTCATAAATAATATATTGAAACTTCCATTTTGTTGTTGTTGCTGTTGTTCTAATGCTACTTTCCACACGGGCAAGCCTGCTTGGTAAAACCGAGTAAATTTAAGGCAGAGTGTGCGTTTCTAGTTTTTCAGTGGCGCCATCTATGGCCATACGTCGCACCCGTTTATAGGGTGGTCCCATTCATTCATCCACAGATCGTAATTTTGACCTGAATCAGAGAACAATCGATCTCCAATCCAGTACCCCCAGAGGCATTGATTTGTTATTCGAACATTAATTAACATTTAACGTGCATCAGTCACTTTACTACACGGGGAGTCTTCGGCCGGCGGGGTTCGAACCTACGAACTGCCATTCTGAATGTGGGAAACAATAAAATCTTCGCTGCATATTTTGATTAATTTCCAGGTTTTTGCTTTGGAAAACCCCATTTAAAGTGTAATTTTTCGGTTGTTTTAAATTAACTCAACTACTTAAATGTTTAAATATTCTACTTATTTAAAGACATAAAGACATATTCAAGTGAGAATAGGACATACTTTGTGGTACGCATAAATAAAATAACGCACATTTATGTTCATTCATGTACCTTTACTCGTGCTTTACTCACTTGTTTTCTGCTTTATTCACAGACACATTCTATTATAAAAACATGATGATATAATCAATTCTAAACAACACAGAAGGTAAGAATTTACAATACCTTTAGGTGAGGTAGTAATTGAGGTTTGACAATCCTTTTGACTTTTTGTTTAACTCAATTTTAGACACTTCAATAGGTTTATAAAGAGAAAAGAACACAATATTTGAAATTCAAAATTTTAAAGCCCCATTTTCTGTCATTAACTTTCTCACTTCATATAACGATTACACTCTTTTTTTTCTATTCTAACAACCTACTGTAAATTTGTAGATGAGTGCGACGAGCTCTTTGCTTTCGCTTACAGCTCTGTATTTCCATTTATGTGGCCGAGGCTTGATTGATAGCTGGAGGTGGTAACCACCTACTGTTTACTGAAGCTAAATTTACAGACTTTCTTCGTGGTACTACTGAGCAGCTTAGTCCTCATTTCCATTTCAGCTTTGTTTACAAACAAGATTTGAATCTGATTCTTCCATCTCCGTTTTCCCCAAATTTATTGACTTACCCACTACTAAGGTAATACAGAGTATTTTAGCCCACATTTCCATCTCCGCTTTGTTTAAAAACAGAAGATTTGAATCAGTTCATTTCGATCAGTTTTCATGTTATTTGGATCAGCTCACGAATGAAATATAATCTCAACTTTTAAATACATTTTAGGTGGTGATTTACGCTTTAATGGCAGTGGTATAGTTTGTCTAAAATAAGAACTCTTTCAGACATTCGTCTGAACCTGTGGCGGTGACCATGGTAACGAGGTATGATTATTTCAAGTAGGGGTGCGGGGTCACTGTTTTGGAGTGGTTTTGGCTCGGGTCAGCGAGATAGAGGGAATCTCTTCGGTCTATTGTGTTAGTCCTAGAGTGAAGTTACCCTCCCTAAAATGCGTCATTCTTGTTTCCATTGCACAAGACAGCCTCAGACTTTGTGGCGGGAGGAGTTCTTAGCTTAGACAAACTATATGTTTTTCTCAGAAACTATTAAAACTGGGAGTGTGAAATTGTTTACACAAGGTTAATATTAACCATCCTCTAGATAAGAAATTAAATATTTATTAATTATCAAAAGTATAAATTAAAAAATTGTAGTAAATTTAATTTAAAAAATTGGAACTATGAAAAATAAATATTTTTAATCAATCACAGAGAAAAATCTTAATATTAGCTTGTTATATAAAACATATCTAACAAAAGGTTTCTTAAAACCTATATTTAATATTTTTGAAATACTTAAACCGAAAATGATGAATATCCAAACCAGCAATAAATCTTCTCCTTTAGGGAATAAATAAATACCTTAATTTCACTAAATATTTTTATTTACATCATTTATACACATCCATATTATTGATTATATAAAACTTAATAATAAACAAGTTTTTAAAACAAGTTTACAAATCGATTTCTTAACAAAAGACAAATCAGTAATTTTAAAATTAAAATTGTTTCCTTTATTAAAAATTTCGAAGACATTAGTACACTAGTAGATATAAGTTAGGAAATATCTGTCAATAGTTAAAAGAAAGGTTTGTAAAAATAAACTAATCTTCGGTTCGACACTTTTTCACGAATCTTGATGGTTTGGTGCAGTAATTTTTCTTTTTTTGAGGTGTTAAAAAGAATAAAACATTGTTCTAGTCTGAATAAAACCAATTATTCTATTCTATTCGTGAATTTCTGTGCTGTCTTTATTAAAAATAAATTCCTGTAGTTATCTTCATTTTGATGTCAATTTGCAGCACCTGCTCCATCTAGCTCTTGGGTCAGCTTTTCCTTCATACATGAGTCCATCAAATGAAGCTGAAAACGAAATGTATTTATTAATTTCACTTCTATTTTAAGTTTTATGTTTTATTTCCAGTCCCAAATAAAGATCAAACGCGAAAAAAAATTTATGGAATTCATCCTTATTATTCGATATTTTGAAATTTTAACACTGTTTTAAAATCGTCTTAAAATTTGAGGTTCAACGAATCGATTAACTCGGTTCTGGCGAAGTTGACAAAATGATCTCATGAAAAATCGGACGAATTCTCGAACCTCCAATATTTCGATGCATTCTCCTCTCGGAGAATCGCAAATCTTATTTCAGAGTCGAATAAAATGAAGTAAATCAAACATGCAATCCAATATGCTGAATTCAAACTGTTTCGAAAAACGTAATTGTCCCACAATCGATGGTGTTTTCAAAATAAATGTAAACAACAACGATCTCGAGCTTTTGAACTGCTCTACTTCCGGTTAGAAAGTATACAGCTGCTTATTACAAATTATGGTGATATTTTCAAACTGATAATTTTGTCTATAATAAAAGAAATAAATTATAAAATGTCTGAGCTTAAATCTGCAGCATTTCATAAGATATTAAGTAATTCTAGTGAGTTTGAAATGAATATTGGTTTTAGATATTTATAGATGAATTGTTAAAAAGGTGACACGGTTGCTAGATTTATAAGAAACTCGCCTTTTTGGCAGTCCTGATTTGGCCTCTTTTTACTTGTTTATTACTGTTTGTTCTTTTTGCACGTCATGCACCCTTATACGGTAGTGTCAGCATATTGTTCCAGCAGAGAAATTAAGCTGATTTTACAAATTATGATTTAGGTTTAAATTTCGCAGTTGGTATATTGTTGATAAGGTAAGAAGTGTTTTATAGCGATTCTTTTTTCTTTCAAATGACGATTCTTACGTCTTGAATTGACAGTAGATTTACAAATGACGATTCTTTTTTTTAAACACGAATTATAAATCAGGTAGCAAATACACGTATACAAGAATATTTCTCCAGTGAGTCTGAAAACACAATAATCACGTTCCGAGTCAAATGGCTTCGAAATACACCGGAAACAGTAACCCGGAAGTATAGACAGTAAAAAGCCTGCAGTGCACCCTAGTGTAGAAAACACCATCTGATCGTAAGACACGGTTCCCAGAAGATAACCGAAGTAAAGCATCACCGGTAGTGAGCAGGTGGCTGATCACTTTAATCAGCCTCCGAAAGGGACCGAGGGTGTGCAGTATCAGTCGTCATTAAACTGCTTTACTTTAAAGTACTCTACTTAACGCGCAGACTGTTGGGTCACGAAAACCGAGTTATTCATCCTCTTAGCAGAGGATAAAATTTATGATATCACGTCTTCCAATTATCTTCAGGGATGTTTTGTCACCAATTGTGCAGCTTTAACACGATGTGAATAAAATACTACTTAAACTTAGTAGTTTTAGTAGTTTAAGTAAGTAGTTTCATTCGTTTATTTAAAAATATTATATAATCTTGAAATAGTAGTGGTCTCTGCGCTCCGCTAGACGCCTTGTAGTGAAAAGATAGCTAGTTCGAATGTGACTGTTATTTGTGCTATTCCTCTCAAACTTGAACTAACTGTTCTTCAACTTGGCTAGAGTATATAAAACGCTCTGAAGTTAATAATGAACATACAAGCTTGCATGTGTAGAGATAACAATTAAAAACCTGCAATAAGCTCATTCATTCTCGTACTTTATACAACTTTAAGTTTGTAGTATTGTTCTTAATCGATAATGAATCGATTTAGCAAGATTAAATTATTTCTTATATGTTGGCTGGCAACAGTCTGGTTGAAAAATGGTGAGTAAATAATTGCTAACCTTGAATAAGTCTCTCTTGTATTAAGGTGATAAAACAACACTTCAATGGTGACCCGGACGTGATGAGAACTTGCCAATATTGATGGATGATCCACATTGAGCAAATCAACTGTTTAACGTGGATCATCCATCAATATTGGCAAGTTCTTATCACGTCCACAGGTTACCATTGAGAGGATTTAATTAATGAAATCGATAAAGAATCGATTAAGCAAGATGATTACAAATTATTTCTTTTATGTTGGATGGCAAGAATCTGGTTGAAAAATAGAACAGCTAAGGTGAATAAATAATTGTTAACCATCTGAATAAGTCTCTCTTGTATTAAGATGATAAAACAACACTTCAAGTTTGATTCCCAATGAAGCTTTGTACTTCCTCATAGCTTTGCATTTAGATAATTGTATTCATTTTATTTATTTATTGTTCTACAAACATAAGCGGGCTTGCGCGCTCACTACAAAGTACGTCTTATAAGTCTTTGTCAAGTTGAGGAACAGATAGTTCAAATTAAAGAAGGACATAAATAAATATTCAGTGTTATAGCGGGATTTGAACCATCTACCTCCAAGTTACAGAATGCTTGGCGAAACACTGAAACCACACAACCAGGCATGGAGATCCTTGCTAATTGTATTGGTAAGATTTTTTTTAAATTACAAATTAAGTTTTAATCACTGATTTTTTAATTTTATTTTTAGTAAAATATTCCTGTCAAATTTAATTACTAACAAGCGAAAACTTGAAAATGTTTAGTAGTGCGAATTTTAAAAGAAAATGAATAATAATTACTAGTAGATATTTTGAAATTATTTTAAATTTTTATTGCTTGTGATTTTCTTAATTTGAAAAGAGCTGTCTTACCTTCCCAGCGTCCTGTTTTTGATTCGAGCATTTCAATATCCTCTGCAGTGAAAGCGGGTACAGGTTCACTTCTATAGAACGTTTTTCGAATTAAGGTGCTATTAATTTCCAATTCATCAACGGCAATCCAATTGATGCCGTCGTCACTGCCCACGCTGGCTCGCTTCCTCTTGTCGAAGGCATATGTTCGTCCTGTCTTCTTATCCCATCCTAATATTCCACCAATACTCCTTGGTAAAACTGAAACAAAAATCGAATTTTAAATATTGAAGGCGCTTGTATATCTAACATGTTATTAAAACAACAAAATTAGCTATCTGTCATTAATACTAAATTTTATGCGATACAGTTGTTTCTATTTTTCTAAATAGCAATAAAGTTGATCTAGTAATTTTAACCAAGCGCTTATTTACTGGCCGTTTATAAACACTGAGGTTCTTTGGTGATTTTCGGGATCGAACTAGTGGTTTTCTCTGTAACACTTACGCTTGGCCGTTTAGCGTCACTTGACCTTTCTTCCACTTAGGCCTTACAGTTGCAAAACCTTAAAAGTACTCCACGAAGGCAAATCCAGGAGTTTCCGTGTCTTCTGGAATGTGTTCTCAATTACAAGTCTACGAAGTTGGACATTAGTAGACGCAAACCCAAAAATTGGGTCGGCTGCTCAACGACGGTTATATATAAAAACCTTTAAGAATACAAACAATCTTTAGTATCTTAGGCTTGGAGGTTGGGCAGCTCCAAGAAGCAAGGCACATCGACCAGAGGTCTATTGCAACCAAACCCTAGATCATGACTAGCGGAAGAGCTTTATAGCTGAAATAAAGTTCAGCAAACACCTGTAGTTCCCGGACTTTAACACAATGTTGTCCCAGATGCTTAAATCTTTGAGCAGAAAAACTATGCTCGTTAAAGCTATGAATTTTCATGCACTACAAAATTGCCAGAGTTAGTGAAAAAGTTTGTGTTTATTATAATTAATCAACAAAAAAATCAACTGACTTCTCCAAGAAGATCCAGCATCTGTCGAGGCAAAGCAAACCAAATTCCTGAAAAGATTAAAGTGAAACATGTGTTAATTACATTATATTTTGTAATAGTAAAATATTAAAAAATATGCATCTTATAATTTGAATAAAACTATCTCACCGAGCATATATTAAAAACCAACTAGTTTTATATGTTCATGTATTTAACACGTAATTGCATTTATAGTAGTCACAAAACGTAAGTGCGAGTTAGTTTTACTTGCTGACTTTTACTGATGATTCGGTCAAGAATTTCTGCTTAGGAATACTAAAAACTACAAGCTAACAGAGTATTTGTGTTCTTCCCTATTTGGACCATCATTTCTCTAGTTTAATTAAAAAGACAAAACCATATTCCAACAGGCAAATAGTAAAGATTTTTGATAATAATTTCAGATCTACCAACATTCACGTAAACATGTTCTGAAGTAATTGCATATAATATGCGTGAGCGGATGTAAAATGTTATAGTCTCTAATAATGTCTCTAATGTCTATAGTCTCTAATGTTAAAAGTCTCTAATAATTACATTTAATGCCGATGACATTCGGCAAAAATAAAGAAAAAAATTCAGTAATGTTTAACACGTTGCCACACATTTTTGATTTGACGATTGTTGCCAGAAACACAATATTTTTCAATTGTGTGTGACTGCCATTTGAAACTACGTGTCATTCGTATGTTTAGAAGAGAAAATTATCACATTTTGTCTCCTTTTTTCCAAGAAACCTTTTGACTTCTGCAGCCGTCATTTACTCGTTATTACGTTTTTTTCTATTCCCAAAACAAATGACCGAATGTAACATCTTCTTTTCTCGACGTATTACTGAATAATTAACAAATAAATGCGTTAATACACTTACTTACAGTACTAAAGATGTTCCTTTTTTATTAATTAAAATGTGCACGACGGCTATAGCCGTCATTTGCCTTCATATTGTCAAAAATCGGACGGTTATACTCGTCATTTGCAACAACTCGTTAAACATATTTTATTAACATTTTTTTTATTAATAACCATTTTAATATTTGATATAGGATTCTTAAAATAGGGCTTTTATTCAATGCGGCTTTTGAATCAATACATTTTTATATATACAGTCCTCGTTTTAAATTTACATAAAAAATTCAGATAAAAAGATCCTCTATTATTATTTACTTTTATCTTTCAAAGCAGAAATATGCTTATTAAATCTTATTCAGTATAATTACCGACATAATTGAAACATTTGTCTAAATTTTATACAAACACTGTTATAAAATTTTAGTATAAACATTCTTGTTCTGTTATGTAATTAAAAATATTCTGTCAACAGGTACGCTTACACTTTAAAAATGATTTATTACTTCTAAAAGTATTATTTCGTAAGAAATATTATTTACAAACTTGAAAGAGATGAGGAAGAAAGTAAATATTTGTTATAATTTGGTGCTAGTGCAGTTAATTAAAATGTCCCAGCATAAAATAAAGCAAACCGAAAGAAAAACATTAATCTCTAAGCAACTGGTTCAAATTTTGGGGGCAATAAATTTGAATTTATGTAACTAACAAAAGGAAACAAAATGAGCATTTTTACTCAGCACTTTAATTTTCTAGCTTTCACAAATAATAACTGAGATCATTTATTTTCTTAAAGCATACTAATATTGTTATGTTTAAAGACTTATTTTGAGACTTAAACAAGCGAAAGAGGTGAAACCAGATGAAATGGAAATGTGAGAGGGATTATAAATGAAATCGATTTAAATAATCATTTGATGGTTAACATCTAAGCACTTACTCCATATCATATTCCAAATCGCAGAAATAGACTATATCTCTAGCAGTGTCAACTGAAAAATGTCTTCCATATTTATCTGTAATAAAACAAAAATGATTTAGCCCAATAAATGAACAAACTTTAAATACTCAGAAAATACCTCATTTTAGAAATATTGGAGAAATTTCACTATATGTGAGCGTGGATCGTTAATAAAAAAGTAAATTAATCATAGATTTAATCATCATAAGATCAAGACGTTTACTTTCCGCAGAAAACAACAAGATTTCTTGAAATAACTCTGGTAAATCTATGTAGTTTATGTTATTATTGATTTCAAGAAGACAGGAAAATGACAACATAAAAACCTACTCACCTTGTAAAATTTTTTGAAATAGATTTTGAACCAGAAAGTTGGTTCTTTATTCCTGAAAATAAGACATGTTCTGATAGGATGGTATTTTAATCAATCTCTTAACCCAAGATATTGACTGCTGGCGATATCTATTTTGGTTATAAATTACGAAAAAAAAGTGGCCAGGAAAATGACTAATTTTCATGTGACAAACAAATTATTGACAGAAAAAATTATTTTCAAAAAGTTTTTGTAAATACCCTCTGCATGCATTCTAGAAATGCTTACAACGGTTGAGATGAAAATAATTAGATATTGAAAAATTTATGGGAAGTTTTGAAGCTAGTTATTATTGGAAATATTGTTTGTGACTTACCAGGAAAATGACATTTTGAAATTTTAATTGATTTTTTTAAATATACGAAACAGTCAATGCTAATGCGAAATCATTTTAAAGTGCTAACAGCAATGCTATTTATTAATTATTTTTAAAAAAAGTTCTTTTAGTTGTATAGTATTAGATCTTGGAGCAAAAGACTGTCAATTGTCGTATTTCGTGAGAATCACCCATATGCGGTTTGTCATTGTTTAACTATAAAGCATTTGATTAAAAAGATAATTTGTAACTTTGGAAAGAATTTTACTTACTCTTATCATCAGAATACCAAGTTGGATCAAATTTCGCACAGGATACTGCAATATAATAAAAATTTTTAAATCATACGCATAAATTTAAATATATGGATTAATATCAAGTTTTCGTAATAACAATAGTATGGCCAACAATTTAACTGTTGAAAAAATTGTCAGTAATTCAAAAGCATTAAAAAAAAACTTTACATGAGTTCAAACACTTGAATGGGAATTTTTTTGCTTTCTGCCTCTTTTGCGAAGTTTCTGAAAATGAATCAAGTTGTTTTTGATATCAACAGGTCTTGGCGGTATTTCTCAAAACTGATCGAGTTGTTTCTGATATTAATAGCTCTTGCAATATTCTGAAAATAGATCGAATTGTTTTTGATTTTAACAGCTCTTGCAAATTTTCTGAAAATGGGTTGAACTATTCTTCACAACGCATTAGTAATATTATTAAAACGAACGTCATAACAACTCAACTTAATAACCAAAAATTACCATATTTTTTGTTATTGTCGGTTTGGGCTGAGTTGAATATAGCTCTACTATGCCTCACTTAAGCGGATGTTTACAAGATATAATTATTTAATGGTGTCGTAAACTGCATCTGACACGAAAACAAAAAGAGAAGAAAACACGTTAAAGACTAAACAATCATTAAGACACCTTAGAGAATCTACATTAGCCTCTGTATGGGCAATATCAGATTTTACATTCGTATAGAAATATGTACCTGAAGGTAGTTTTTCGGCGATGTAGCAGCCGTACATTTCCATTTTCAAGCCTATGTACATTTTATCTTCCTCTAATTTTTCAGCTTCTTCCACGACTACCCTCACAAATCTTGTTTGAATGGGTTTCTCAAGATTGTCAAAAGCCTTATCTTTCCTATACACTAACTCTGTTATCTACAACAAAAGTAATTTAAACAAAAATTTAAAAAAAACAACAATGTTCACAAATCTATAAACTATACACAAAGTATGGTAACAAACAAAGGCGCATTGTAACAAAACTACTTTAGAATTGCCACCACGCCATCTTGTGGCGAGGATAGTAAACAATGAGTTGAACTACAGCTACCGAAGGGAGAACAGTTCCTAAATAATATCTCCGTTATAGGGTTTTGTGAGTTTCGCCGTTAATTTGTGTTTGTTAATTCGTAACTGTTTCTGTGCTCTGCTATTGAATATAAATACATAATTTCAGAGATAGTTCGGTGTTTTTATTTCTTAGAAAATGGCTACAGTATTAGTTTTTCTTTTCTAATTTTCATTCCTTTAAAAAATTAACTTCATTCCTTCTGATGAACTGCAAGGAATTTTGGTGTATAGTTGCCCCCATTTTTCAGTGTAGAGGTAAACTAAAAAAAATTTACAATGCATATAATCACATTTTTTATTTACTTTTTCACTATTGTAGTTTTATTCATTTATTTATTCATTTTTTGTTTGTTTGTTTACTGACAACACATATTTTAATGCTCAATAGAATTAATTTATGGCTTCCTTGCAAAAACAATTCGTTTAAAAAACAAACACATTTTTAGTAATTTTTTGCGCTAGTTCTTTCAAATTGATATTTTGCCAATTGTACATAATTTTTTGCATGGTAACTGGAGTTCTGTTCTCGAAAATCTATTTAGCACTAATCCACAACACCAAAAATCGTGGCAAATGTACAGCAAAATGTTTTACAGTGTAGTGGAATCATTTGTTAATCTTATAAAATATAATCTCGTTATTGGAGGGAAATTCAATTTATAAAAATAAATCATTTTTAATCAGTTTTTATGCTGTTTCATTGAAAGTTCCGTTTCATTTTTTATAAGTTTTGCTTTTAACCTAAATTAATTTCGTTATAGATATATAATTGTATTTATTATAATTATTCTATAATAATATAATTACTATGTAATTATTTCGTAATTAGAAATAGTTATTGTGCGTAACCTACTCACGGCAAATTGTAAGAGTTTGCTTGACTCAGCATAAAAATTGCCCTCTTTAGAAACATTTTTTTAAAAACTTGCTATTTATGCAATTTTTTGTAGCAGTAATTATACAGTTTGCATCAATTTACTTACCGCTTAAATTTAAGCTTTGATTTTAGACAAAAAACTAACTATCTTCATATAAAAGCTTTGGGAAAAAATGGCAGAATCATCGCATTTATGTTAATAAAATTTTTATTCTTGATATGTTTTGTATCACTTACTAACTCCTTCTGAGGAAAAAAATGTTTTTAAAATTATTTCAATCTGTTTAGAAAATGTCCGTCAGAGACTGTACCTCATTTGCATATAGCCAATCAGAGCCAGTATGGCTGTACTGAAGTCGATATTTCGTGACGCATCTTGTGTTCTCCACCTTTAAGAACTCCAGTTTAGATACACGAGTCGTTCGAAGGAAGTCAACTTGGAAGTATGGCTTGTGTGGTCCAAGACGCAGAGCAGGTGACCATCCTGGAATTAGGAAAGAGAAAAAAGTATTAAATACCCAAGACGTTTCATTATTTTGAAATTCACTGCCAAAAAATTATACCAATAATTATAGCCCAAATAAAAATAAATAATAACGGAAGTTGCTTTCATTTCAACTGTTCAATAGCAAACATATGCAAGAACATTTCTTAAATAACTTCTTCTTCTTCTTCTTCTGGGTCACTACAGCCTATGACAGGCCAAGACCATCCCAATAAGTTTTTGCCATCTTGATCTATTCTGTGCCGGCCTTCCAGTTAGTTATTCCTATTATCTTTAGGTCCTTCTCAACTGCGTCCAGCCACCTAGTCGGTGGACGGCCCCTTTTCCTTATACCTTCTGGTTTAAAAAAAAGTTACTTTTTTGTGGGGGGGGGGAGGCTTGGTCTTCAGATCTATAAAGGTGTCCCAGACATCGAATACGATTAACCTTAATAACATGAACTATGTCAGGTTGTTTATACTTTTTATTTAACTCATGATTGTAAAGGGTGCGCCATTTTTTACTCTCATAGACTGCACCAAAAATTCTTCTAAGTATTCCTCTATCAAAAATCAGCAATTTGTTCTCTTCTTTTTTATTAAGAGTCCAGCACTCACTACCATATAGCATCACAGGCCGTAGCAGTGTTTTGTATACGATAATTTTTGTCTTTTGTTTAAGAAATCTACTTTTTAGTTGACTTATTAAACCGAAGTAGCACTTGTTTGCCATTGGTAAACGGCTATCAATTTCAGTATTTATGTCACTTTTTCAGGATACAGTAGTCCCAAGATATTTAAATTCATCAACAGCTTCAAATTCATAATCATTCACATGCAAGGGCCTTGCCTTTGTGAGCCCTATGTTTATCTCCATATATTTAGTTTTGTCAGCATTAATGGCTAGTCTCATTTCACTAGCTGCTACATCAAGAGCTTTCTTAAATAGCACTGTATTTTATTATGTACAGGATCTAATTTTCTACAATCATTATAAAAAATATAACTTTCTAAATGTTATTTTCGAAAAATAAACAAAAAAATTGCGCAAGGAAAAAAATATATTACATGTAATCAAACATTTGCCCTGTTACCGATAAATTACAAGATATTGTATTTGTCCCTCATTGTTATGTCATTAAAATACCACTTAATTTCACAGTATTATTTAAATGTTTCAATTCAATGTTTCAAATTCATAGATAATTCCTTATAGTTACCTTTAACTTTAAGGAAAATGCTCCAACTATTAAGAAGCAAAAATCTAAAGATTTCTAAACAGAAATTCCATCGATGTTTTCGATTGATTGAAATATAAAACGTAGCAAAAAAAAACGGTTCTTCTATCAATGTTTTTGGTCGGTTGAATTAAAACAGAAGAGTTCTGCGATCAGTGTTTTTTCGGGGGAGGAAATGAAATGTATGAATAGGTTTTCTATTAATTTTTTCATTAACTAAAAAACAACAAATAAATAAATGTGGTTCCTATTGTTTCATTCGAAATGATTTATTTGAATTGTTTCATTTGACTGATTCCGATTGACTCATTCAAACGAAAGTAGTGTTTGACATTCACATATTACATTTAAAAAAGCGTTAAGATTGTTTTTTTAATTATTTTTGTTTGTATCGATTTAAAATATCTCAGACATTGATAAAAAACAGTTTGAACGAAGAGAAATTTCAAAATAAGTAGATATTATACAGTTTCTAAAGTCAAGTTTTAATTTTGAAACAAATGCAATATTAGAACAGATTCGAAGTAACTGATTCATAAAATACTTTCAGTTTTTTTTAAAATCTTAACTAATGAATGCATATATTTTTCTATATAGCATATCAAAGTACATTATTTAAAAAGACAATGTGTTCTACCTTTTTTCCCACTAGCTCGTATATTGTAAGGTCCAGTTTCTCTCTTGGCTGCAGACGAAGCACTGAGTTGGCATTTGTATACTTTCTTTGGGCTCGCCAAACCCAACGGCTTGTAACACTCTACAAATGACAATTTTGATTTAAAAAAGAACAAATATGGTATACAATGCAAAAGCGTGGTATAAAATGAAATGAAAATTTAAAATTTAAGTTTTCTCTTGACTCTGGTCACGTGGTTTGTCCTATTTTGAAACGCAAAGGAACAACTCATAACCTGACAAAAATAATGCTAGAATTCAAGAATGGAATTTTAATTTTTGAATTTGAGTTTCGAAAGTGTTTAAAGTACACAAACTAGGAAAATAACTAAATGTTGTATTGCTTGTTTATAATGTACTCCTTGTGCTTTCAAAATAGTTTGAGCTTTGATTTCAAAGTTAATTTCAATTTTGCTCCAATGTAAAATGAGATAATGTTACTCTCGCGGGTGTGATGTATAGAAAAAATCAGCTATAAGAATATATTGCTACCAAAGAAGGTAGCAATATTCCAACATCACTGTCTAGACTGTTAACGATATGGTATATGTACTCATTCTCAATTCACGATAATTATAGCTGTGTATAGAACGGCAAAATGTTCTTCTTAGTAAAGTATTGTGTTACCTCAACCGAATTTCGTTTCATTTTTGGAATTAGATTCATGCTTCACATTGGTATTTATATTAGTATTTAAATGAAATGAAACAACACACAAATTTTATCAAATTCTAACGAAGCGATATAGAAGGCAATCACGGTAAAATAATCAAAACTAGTTTGATTGTCGTAAGGAAGCGAAAAGCGATAAGAAACGATTATCAAAATCGTCTTTAGGGCCATTTGGGTCTTATACTTTCCATCCCACTTTCATCGTAATTCGCTTTTTTACTTCATCAGATTTTTATAACAATTACAATTTTTCCTTACTTAAATAGTGTTTGGTGACCCTTAATGTACATAAAATCTTAACTTCAATTTTGATAATGATTTCAAAATTATATACTATTAAGAAACAACTGTGTTTGTGCCAAGTGATTGAGAATTATGTTTTTAACTATAGCCCAGCTTAATGACAGCTATAATAAATGAGATCGTTAAGTTCTGCTGTTATTTTTATCGTAGGCTAATTAAAAAACTCGGCGCTTTGCAATTGTCGTCGTCATTTTGCAATGCTCCAGTTTAATTGGAAAAGCCAGGTTAATTATTTTCCAATTCCTCCGATATTTTAGGCTTATCACTACCGACCTATATGCCTTTCGATAAATCAGTTAACATGCGCAGATTCAGACTGAATCACGATTGAGTTTACTTCAAAAAGCATTTAATAAGGATGCTTACAATGAACCTTTACAACTCAGAACATTTTGCGAACTTTATGAAATGAGTATCAGGCTGATAGAACAGCGATTGATAAATTTTCTAATTATCCCAAAGGTATGAGGGATCACTACAATAAGCGCAAACTGTGTCAAGCTGGTTAGAAAATACTAGAAACTCTTTTAATTAGCCTCGTTCATTGTAAAATAACGGCAGGGGCCTGCACAAACCCCAATGTCTGGTTAGCCCTGTCTTCGAAAATATGTACCCCAAGTTTTGTGCGAATCGGTTCAGAATTGCAGATTTATATAAAGTATATACACTCATCCACAGACATATAAACATTCTGTTTTATTTACACATATTTTTCTATATCCTTCGTTAACTTTCTTAATTTAGTTTAGTTATATTATTAAGGGTTTTCATACTATTCGCTTTAAAACCCAAAACCCTTCAAGGGTTTGCGATCTTCTGCCTGACGGAATTCTTTTAATGTCAAAAATCACAGACGTTTGCACATTATCTTAATTATTTATAGTGTTATTGCGAGTTAAAATTGGAGAGTTAGCTCTCAACAAGCCTCTATATCATTTTAAGAATTTAAAAAAATCGTTTAATCCTGTAAAATTAAAACTTACCTTGACTGTTCACGACGTACATAATATAATCTACTGGTCCGCAGTTCACGATAGTTTCAGCTGTGTCCGGATTGGCTGATGGTTCTTCCCTATAATTCTGCAGACACAGAACTCTGTAAGGTGTCGTGGCATTGACTTCCCCTCGACCGAAACCTCTTTCGTTTTTAGGATCAGCTAATAAGCTGACAATGATAGTTGCAGAATCCGAAAATAAAAATTGAGGAAGCTGAAAAGGAAAATTAAAGTTTCTTACAAATATTTTACTCTGCAAATGTTTGTGATTTCTAGTACAGAAGGAATGCATAAGGACAGTAGAAAAATTTAATTAATACATTGGAATGTTATTTTTAAAAATTATACAAATAATATTAAAAATACAAAACTTTGCTATTTGAAAACAAAACTTCTCATTTCAATATAAACTTGTAACAAAATGTTAATTACAAATTGAAGAAATGAGTTAATAGAAGGTTTGGCCACCTATTACTGGTACACAGATTTCAGACCGTAGTTTCATTGCTAGTAAAGAAGCAGCAATTTTCGAACTCGTTTTTTAATGATGTTTTCNGTATAACATTTCTGTTCAATAGAAAAACTTACATTGGTACCAGATGCTGTCACCTCACTAATTTCAGGTCGTGATTTTTTCTCAAAATGATTAAAAATTGTTAAATTCTAGCGTTTTGGAATCCTAAAGATCCAAGAACAGCAAATATATACATATATTTATTCGCATAGAAATATCCGCTATGCTACGATCTTAAAGTTTCGAGCTGGAATGAATAACTTTAACGAGCACAGTATCTCCAATGGTATTGTTACTGATTTCTTCAGCTCAGAAAGACAAGCGGCAGTGATAACTCTTAGTCTGACTAACTAACTCCACTGTACTCCGTTCCCCCTTTTATATAATTTTTCACCGTATCTCCAAAATTCTCGAATTGTCTCAAAGACGACAGAACGTCTAGGATTCCAGAATCATCGCTTAAGACCTCGCGAATAACTGCCAATCTCGGCAACTATCGCGACTGGCAGGACAGAAAGGAACCAGCCCGTAACAGTATCACGCGAATTTGGTTTCATAAGTACAACTCTATTAGAGTAAATTTTTTTTCAGTGAGAAATACCGTGAGGAAAAAAAAGTAGGCATAAGGCAAATAAAAATATATAATCTTAAAAAATAACAACCCGCATAATTTCTACTAAAATTTTTATTTTTGCCATTTTGTCTGAGCTCAAGGGGGGTGTTTAAACCCCTAAACCCCTCCCTTGCGTACGCCCCTGCATGTACTCATTCTCAATTCACGATAATTATAACTGTGTATAGAACGGCAAAAGGTTTTTCTTAGTAAAGTATTGTGCTACCTCGACCGAATTCTTTTTCATTTTTGGAATGTTTCACATTGGTATTTATAGTAGTATTTAAGTAAAATGAAGCAACACACAAATTGTATCAAAATCTAGCGAAGCGTTATCGAAGGCAATCACAATGAAATAATCAAAACTAGTTTGATTGTCGTAAGGAAGCGAAAAGAGCGATAAGAACCGATTATCAAAATCGTCTTTAAGGCCATTTGGTTTTTATACTTTCCATCCCACTTTCCTCATTATTCGCTTTTTTGCTTCATCAGATTTTTATAGCAATTACAATTTTTCCTTACTTAAATAGTGTTTGGTGACCCTTAATGTACATAAAATCTTTAACTTCAATTTTGATAATAATTTCAAAATTATATACTATTAAGAATGAATACTAAAAAACAGCTGTGTAAACGAATGTGCCAAATGATTAAGAATTATGTTTTTAACTATAGCCCAGCTTAATGACAGCTATAATAAATGAGATCGTTAAGTTCTGTTGTTATTTATATCGTAGGTTAATTAAAAAAAGCTCAGCGCTTTGCAAATGTCGTCGTCATTTTGCAATACTCCAGTTTAATTGGAAAAGCCAGGTTAATTATTTTCCAATTCCACCGATATTTTTGGCTTATGACAACCAGCTTATATGCCTTTCGATAAATCAGTTAACATGCGCAGATTTAGACTGAATCACGATTGAGCTTACTTCAATAAGCATTTAATAAGGATACTTACAATAAATCTTCACAACTGAGAACATCTTGCGAACTTTATGAAATAAGTATCAGGCTGATTGAACAGTGAATGATAAATTTTCTAATTATCCTAAAGGTATGAGAGATCACTACAATAAGCCCAAACAGTGTCAAGCTGGTTACAAAATAGAGATTTTTTTAATTAGCCTCGTTCATCGTAAAATTAAGGCAGGTGACTGCACAAACCCCAATGTCTGGTTTGCACTGTCTTCGAACATATGTACCCCCAAGTTTTGTGCGGATCGGTTCAGAATTGCAGATTTATATAAGGTATATACACACATCCACATACATATGAACATTCTGCTTTATTTACACATATTTTTCTATATCCTTCGTTAACTTTCTTAATTTAGTTATGATATTAAGGGTTTTCGTTCTATTCGCTTTAAAACCCAAAACCCTTCAGGGGCTTCGCGAACTTATGCCTGACGGAATTCTTTTAATGTCAAAAATCACAGACGTTTGCACATTATCTTAATTATTTAGGGTGTTATTGCGAGTTAAAATTGGAGAGTTAGCTCTCAATAAGCCTCTATATCATTTTAAGAATTTAAAAAAATCGTTTAATCCTGTAAAATTAAAACTTACCTTGACTGTTCACGACGTACATAATATAATCTACTGGTCCGCAGTTCACGATAGTTTCAGCTGTGTCCGGATTGGCTGATGGTTCTTCCCTATAATTCTGCAGACACAGAACTCTGTAAGGTGTCGTGGCATTGACTTCCCCTCGACCGAAACCTCTCTCGTTTTTAGGATCAGCTAATAAGCTGACAATGATAGTTGCAGAATCCGAAAATAAAAATTGAGGAAGCTGAAAAGGAAAATTAAAGTTTCTTACAAATATTTTACTCTGCAAATGTTTGTGATTTCTAGTACAGAAGGAATGCATAAGGACAGTAGAAAAATTTAATTAATACATTGGAATGTTATTTTTAAAAATTATACAAAGAATATTAAAAATACGAAACTTTGCTATTTGAAAACAAAACTTCTCATTTCAATATAAACTTGTAACAAAATATTAATTACAAATTGAAGAAATGAGTTAATAGAAGGTTTGGCCACCTACTACTGGTACACAGATTTCACACCGTAGTTTCATTGCTATAGTAAGGAAGCAGCAATTTTCGAACTCGTTTTTTAATGATGTTTTCTGGCACTAGATGGTTAAATGAGGAGAATTGTGACTTGTAATCACCCCCTGAGAGCCTCCTAGGTTTGTTAACATCGTCTTAAAGTTAATATCTGGAATTTGATGAATAAAGTTATTATCTTTCTGGTGGATTCACTCGACGAACGTCTTCATTTTCTCGAAACTTGTATTGTATCAACGCACATGTTTATACTAAATTACTATAAAATCTGTTTAGTAGTTTTGGAAATAATTGATTAAATCTGTAAGGACTTTCAATTTTAGAACACTAGTATGTAACTAATTCAAGGAACTGGTTCTATACTAGACAAGAGATCTAATTCAAGCACAACAGACAGAAATTGTCTGTTTAAAATATGTTCACATTGAACATGCGGAGTAAAAAACTAAAAAGTATGTTCAAAAAACGAACAAACATTAAAAAAATTTACTGTATCCTAAGAAAGGAGATATTCTTAACGTAAAACTAATAAAATTTGATTTAAATTATACAAAAGAAGGCATCGAAAATGTAAACGTTTAAAACTAACAGCTGAATTCTAATGGAAGAGAACCATAGAAAGGTCTAAAACTGTAGAATCAACAGCTTTTTTTCCCCTTTGCATACCTTCTATATTTGGTATTAAGAATTATTCACTTCTTTTTTTTCTGTTTGTAAACAAAAACTCAATGGATAATTTTCTGTAGATATTTTGATCCATCTATTAATGACTGTAAAAAATTCGTACATCCTTTGAGTTTAATACGGAATTAATTCTTTAAGAGAGTCTCAAGAGAATTCGCTTGTTGTTGTAGGCCAATAAGGAAAGGGGTGCAATTTTTCGTGTTTTCCGGTGGCGCCATCTATGGCCAAGAATTCGACTTCTGCCACACCCATACGTCATATCCGTTTATAGGGCGGACCCATTCATACATCCATTCATTCAACCACAGATCGTAATTGTGACCTAAACCATCCAACCATTCAATTCAGTACCCACAGAGGTATAATTTGATAGAATTCACTTCTTGAATAGATACTAAAGGTTTGAATTTCTTGTGTAATTACTTAAAAGTTTCTGATTTTAAAAACTTTCACTCTATAAAACTAGAATAAACTCACCACAATATCGAGTCCTCCGAATTCGGGAATGAACTGCACGGCTCCCACAGTTGTGGCATTGTTGAAAGTTTTATCGAAAAATTCGACGTAAGGTGGAAGGTAGAGACGAACTGTGGCATTGATGGGTTCGGCTCGTGACTCTAGCTTGTGAACGACTGACACAGTAACATTAACTTGCTCCCTAGAAATAAAAAATTGTTCGAAAAAATAGTTACAATGTAATTAAAAACAAATCAAACAGATTTGAAACAATTTTGAAGAGTGTGTTTGAAAGATTAGCGAACTGGTATGATTTTCAGTAGCAGAAAGAGTTAATGCAATGCTTTTTTTTACCTAAAGAATAAAATAATGTCTTAATAAATAACCTTTTTCTAAACAATATATTGCATTCGATCTAAAAAGGAAATGTAGCATCTAGAATTAATGTTGATGTACTGATAATAATCACGGAATAAAATTTTAAATTACTTAATATATAATACTTGAAATATTGTATTGTATATTGTATACTTGAAATATATAATATTTTTCAACTCCACGGTTTTTCTGTTTTATTTAATTTTCATTTTTTTAAAAATAATTCGTTTAATGATTTCATAAATAAATGAATTCAAATTTCAGTTTGAATGATATAAAAATAATAAATATTAAATTAATAAATATAAAAATTATAAATATATTTATTATATACATATTTTTTAATAAATGCTTTAAAAATATAAAATACTTTAATAAATATAAAATGCTTTATTAAATATGAAACTAAAAAGTTAATCTTTTAAAAAAAAAAAAAAAAAAAGACACGGAGAGAACTGCACGTGATACTTACAAAAACGCTTAACAAGCGTTATAAGTTGCGCTGCCTGTTTTTTTTATGAAGTTCTTAGAGTTTTCATTACATTTAGTTATAAAAATTGAGTATTACAAAAAGGTTTTGAAGCAGAAATTGATCCACTTGGCAAGGCTTCTTGCTTCTCCTAATATATTTTTTAATCATTTTATTCCATTTCATTCTCACTTCTAGTTAATATTTTAATTAGTAAAAAATTCCATTTTTAATTGACCTGATTTTTATGGTTTTCACAAGTATAGATATAAAAACTCTACAATTTTGTTTTTAAAAAAATGCGAATACTACTACTTAAGAAGAAAATATGTTTAGCAATTATTAAGAATCACATTGCTTTGTGTTTTAGACACAAACATACAATCTTCTTCGAATTTGATTTTTTGTTAAATTTTTTAGATGAAAAAACTGAAATTATGAAAAGGTTTTTTTTTGTGTGACAGGAACTGACCCACTCTGGTAAGGTTTTCTGTTATCGACGTGTATTCTGACATCTAGATCTGCTCTCTCTGTTCCATCTCTCAACACTCTCATGGGCTGATCGATGTCGACGACAGCTTTTCCCACTTCAGCCGTGAATCTGAGATCAAAGATCATGTCATGATCTGTCAGAGGATGATCAGTCATTTCGACCTCCACTTCAATTGTTAAGTCGTCGTCTCCGTCTTGAAACATATTCATCTTATGCGACAAGCCTACAGGAAAACGAAGAAAACAAATGGATATGGTTTACCATTTATGTTTAGATTATGTTAACATGTTCATCTTGCGCGACAAGCCTATAGGAAAACAAAAAAAAAAAAACAAATGGATATGGTTTACCATTTATGTTTAAATTATGTTAACATGTTCATCTTACGCGACAAGCCTACAGGAAAACGAAGAAAACAAATGGGTATGATTTACCAGTTATGTTTAAATTATATTAACATGTTCATATTAGGCGAGAGGTCTACAGAGAAATGAAGAAAACAAATGGATATGAATTCGCATTTATGTTAAGATAATAACATTTACACAATATCATTGCGTAATTTATAACTTCAGCGATGAAATTTTATTAACAAATGAGCTAGTCGATATTTTGGAGGTTAATTACTTTTCATAAATTGCAAAAAGTTAAAACGCACTAACGTTCTAAAAAAAATCTATTTTCAAACGTTGCTTGTTTTCTAAGCTTGTTAATTTTTTTTATGTGCTATTACGATATGCTCACGAATCAAGCATTTTTGATGTGCCTATGCACAGGGAATTTAACTTTGATTATTTTTTAATAATTTAGAACCAGAAATTTATGCGTTATTTTTTGAGGAACATGCAAACGTAGGACACGTAATTTTATAGCAATAGCCGAATGTTTAAGAGAAAAGTGAAATACAAGCATGAAATAAGACAATTATTGTAAAGATTTCTTGGAAAGTTGAAAAGGTTGTGGTTGCGAGTTCCTGGTACTCCGTCTATGAAAGTACGATCCATATATAAGTACCAGAGAATTACTGCCTGCCATAATGTCTAAGAAATCAAATATTATGGCAAAGTAGGTTTGTTGATACGGGCCGGTACCATGTTGAATAGCCACAGAAACTTTCACTTCTTTGAAGAGTTCGCTGCTAAGGCTGTTTTTCGATTGCTCAGTCGTAATATGAAGTGATGCTTTTTGCCAATAATATGCTATTTTTATAACTGTTGCGAGTTTACAACTGTTACTCATGAGTGTAAGGTTAAGTGTAGCCTATCTAAATCAGCACTATCAACGCTTATTTTGAAAATGGCGCCAAATGTCAATATGGAGAAAAGCCACAGTTTCTGGAAAATGAAAAGCATTTGTGGTCTAATTTCTTAATATTTAAAATTATACTGCATTACTTTGCTCATAAATATTTGCAGAAACTGAAAATAAGGTAGTGGTTTTGATAATTTTCATCTAGGAGAAAAAATGTTGCAGAATTGGCAATTTTTTTAAAAAAAATTGATAACTTAAAAAATATTTAAGTTATTTGTCTGTTCTAAAGCCTAGATAATTCTTCATGGCAAGATTATATATATAATTGAAAATCATCGCATTGCTTCAGATGCAATGCACTTAAGCTACGTTTTTTTTCATTTTCCTTGGCATCAGAGTTTTGAAAAACGGCGTTAAGGGCAAGAAATGCAGAGATAAGATCTTGGAAGCCTGTTTCACAGCCGGGCGAATTGGAATTATATTTCAAATATATTTAGACATACCAAATATATTTCATACAACGTCTCAGATCTGAAAAAGGCAATTGTGGTACGAATTTTTCTCCAATTTATTGGATAAAAGTTTCATTTGTATTATATCGACTTATGCCCATACCAAATTTCATTAAAGTCACTGAAATAACTCTTGCAATAATCGAATATATACTTTTAATTTTAAACAGGAAAATACTTAACTTGCATTAAATGATTAATTTTCGGTTATATCCACGATGTCTTATAGTTTGTCATGAATGTTCTATCTAAATAATAATTCAATCAGCTTTTTTTCAAGATATCGAAGAAAATGCTTCCAATTGAAAGTTAAGAGTAAATTTTATAACTTTTTGTAAAAGTCCTGTGGGTCAAGTAAAACTATTAAGAAGCTGACATCAGAACATTACATACACTATTTTGTGCTTCAACATTTCTATTATACAAACCTAAATTCGTGAAATATCCTATGTAAGCTCTAATGACATCGTTCTGTGTGGTAGGACCCGTGGGATTGAAAACCACTTTAGGCTGAGGATAAACCATCGGACATGGAATGTTTATACCACCGGAAACCAGGCGGATGTTGTGTACAGTGAGAATAGCTCTGTTTTCTTTATGGGGCGCTCTAGCCTCAACTTCCACTTTGACAATTGCATCGATAGGTATTGTGACATTAAATGGAACCCAAAGTCGCTGGTGGATTCTGATTGGAATGGGTTCTGCATGAACTAACTTGAGCGAAGCATTATCCTAAAATAATGGTATAATTACATGGGATAATTTCATGGCATAATTACATGGTATAATTACATTGGATAAAAAATTTATATCTCAACAGTCAAAGAATAAAAAAAATGATTAATTTTGTAAAATAAAGCATAAAATCTATGACATACTTTAGTTTCAACTTGGTCTGGCTCTCGAGCTATGGTGAATTTAACAGTGTCAATTTTCTTTTCGTGTGATCCCACTCTGGCGAAGCCTTCTAAGCTGAAAGAATCTTTAATCTTCAAGGAACCGTCATCCGGTGGTCTCATTGCTACTCGAATGGTAACCTAAATTTTATAATAATGTTAAAATAACGTCATAGTAACGTAAGTAATGTTATAATAATGTTAAAATAACGTCATAGTAACATAAGTAATGTTATAATAATGTTAAAATAACGTCATAGTAACGTAAGTAATGTTATAATAATGTTAAAGTTACATTGTTATATTATTTTATTTAAAATTTAAGCTAATAATGGAAGTACACTGTAAAGTAATTCCTGTTCTAATTATGGTAAAAAGTACTGGGACTAAGGGTACCGGTACTTTTTACTGTAAAATTTATTTTTGCATAAAAATTTACCATAATTTTTACAATAATATTTACTCTAAAATCACTGAATCACAGTAATTAAATAAATGTTACTGTAAAAATTATGGTATAAAATTTTCCGGTTAAAAATGGATTTTATGGTATAAAAAAATTTATGGATGCTGTACTCTTTCGGTGAGCATGATTGGTGCACATGATTTTGATAAAATTTGTTGATTTCGCCAAATGTTTAGATTACGACAAATTTTTAAGAAAAAGTTATATTGTTTTCAATTTAGTGGGAAAACTTATTGAATATTTTAATTGAGCATAGAAAAACTTGAAAGCTATGAATATAGTAGATAACTTTACACATACTTATATGACCTTCCGTTATTTTTAACTTTATGTCAATGAAAAGTTAATCCCAAATTCCTCATAATTTATGATCTAAAGTAATAATAATAACATAACCAATCGTCATAGATCAATAATTAATAATCATTACCCTATTTTCTTCATTACCTTATTCCCAAACTCCTCATAATTTATGATGCAAAGTAATAATAATAACAGAACCAATCGTCATAGATCAATAATTAATAATCGTTACCTTATTTTCTTCATCCCGATTATCGACGAAAGTATTACAGACTAGACCAAGATTATAGACGGCACTGTCATTTCGGTTGTTACCCGAACCACTAAAAGGAAGGAAAACAAAAGATAAGGAAATTAGGCCTAACCTTTAGATTTTTTTTTGAAAGAAAACTAAGCAAGTATAACGTTTTGTAATAAATAAAAAAAATTACGCATAATGCTCAAGATGAGAAAAGAATAAGAGATATCAAGTATAACTCACAACTAAAAAAAATACTGAATAAATTACTTATTTAATATAAATGAGCTATAACGCTTACTTAAAATAATAAAAGAAATGAATTAAGCACAATACTCAGTTAAATTTATGTTAGAGTAGAAAGATTAGAAATTTGAAAGATTAGATTGAATTAGAAATTAAGATTTGTTTAACTCCACATACTTATAATTTTGAGCCAACCTACGAGATTAAATAGCATCTGGAACAGTAGCTGTGATTCTATAATTTATTTTGTTTTCAATGTGTACTATCAAATTTCCATTCCCATTTATTGAAATCAGGAACTTTAAAATTTTACATGCTACAAAATTTTGCCTAAACTAAATAATTTCAGTTTAAATACAAAAAAAATATTATTGTTCTAATAAAGGTTACTATAAACCATAAGTTTATAGTAAAGTTTAAGTTTACTATAAACCTTAAATACTTTTATCCTTAGCATAAATGAGTGTTAAACGGCACTAGATACCCGGTCAAATTTGCCGGTATCAGGTAACGAGAACTTATAACCGGATTCGGATCATGAGAATCTGCCCATTGGTGGGTACCATTTATTGCTGGGTAGAATTTAAAAAGTAATAATTTTATTGCATGCTTTAAATGCTACTTTTATTTAATTCTGGAACTAATCATAGAATTCATAATTAATAATTTTAACTAGTCAAATCATAATAATTTAAATAATATCAAATGATTCATTTTTTGTGAGAAAATGAAAATGAAATATTAACTCTTCAAGTTCAATAAAAAAGTTCTCTGTCCCTTGCAACTATGCAATCGATCAGTCAGTAAGAGTAACCCAGTAAATGACTAGTCTTTTAATCTCTATTAATTCGTAATCCTTACAGGGGGAGATAATAATATAAACTATTAAAATTGAAATAAATCTTATCGCTTAAACTATGCAGTTTTTAAAAAACCGCATGAAATTTCAAAAAAAAATTAAACATAAGACAGATTGCTTCATTTCGTACGTAACATGCATTGGATGATCATACATTGGCTAATCATACATAGGTTGATCACACATAGGAACATCACAATTCTTACGGTTCTTTCTGACTACAAGGCCCTCCGAAGGGTTATATTCATCATTCTCACTTCTTTTTCCTTTTTACATTTTTTATTTTTTTAATCTTAACTTGAAACTATGTGCACAATTCTGATATTATTTCCTCTACATGTTTAATATTTTATATACATCTTGCTTATAAAATCATTTTAAGTGTTTACGAGTAACATAATAACTATCACTAACCCTTAAACTGACACAGCAGGTACGTCAAACACTCTGAGCGTGCTACTAAATCCTATTTTGTATAAATTGATTTAATAAAAGTTCAATAAATTGATAAATCATTGCAAATTTTGAATTCCAGAATGTAAAATTATCACGTAACTACTTTGAAAAAAATGAGCAAAAACGTATGTTTTAAGAGTGATAAAACTTTTATAATTTTTGATGCCAATTTCGTCAATGAAAATAAATGACGGTTATATTTTACCTTGATGAAAAGTTGCTCTCCACTTGAACAGGAGAGAAGCATGGGTAATTTCTCCCCCTGAACCAGATACCGCCAAGGCACATGTCGTATGGATATCTCTTGTTTGCATCAGTGTTTTTAAGTTCAACAACGACAGGTGCCAAGGAACCAGGTTCCAAAGACACTTCCAAATCAACAACCACTGGACTGCCCATGGAGATGGCTTTATTTGGATATGCAGCTTTAAATGCCAGGGCTTTTGGCTCTTTGGAAGCCTAAAATGAAAAGAATTGGAATAATTTCATCTAAGAGAGACTAGCACAAAGATCTTTTAGCACTGATAGTAAAATAACATAGAACCAAAGTAAAGAGGTAAAAAATGTAGAAGAAACACATTGATTTTTAGACATCGATCTCCTTGACTTGCACATAATTGTTTCTACATTTTTTTTAAGTGGAACTTTTTATATGTGGGTTAAATAGTGAGTTTCATAATTTTAAGTTACACGGAATGAAATTACTTCCAAATATCTAGATTCTCATTTCCCTTGACTTCATAATTCAAACAAAATCCATTAATTTACATAGAATGATTTAACATCTAACTTACAACTTTTCTTAAAAGTACACTTCAAAAATCTAGTGTAATTACACTTTCTTAATTTTAAGCGAAGTTTTAAAATGATTAACTGGTATTACAAATTATTTTTTTTTCTTTCGCTTTCCCCCAATGTTGAGGTAAATATATTTTTTACTCAAACTCTTCTTACAATTAAAAATTTAAGTTCTGTGCTATACACACCCATGAGCTAAATTCAACTTCTATAAGAATGATTCTACTATTTTATTGTCACACTTAGAGTCAACAAATGCGAAATGTTTTTACAGCAAAATAGTATTGTCAAATATCTTCACAAAATTCACGTAGGCAAAAAAACTTTTACTTATTTATATCTTTTTGCCTTAGCAAATGTTTAAAAGCACCTCTACAAGAGCCTGTTTTTCTGCCATGAGTATCATAAAAGTTAAAGCTTTACAAATTCTGAATAAATTGTAGCATGGATACAATGTGATCATCATTGTTCACCAGTTTCTTTAATTTACCAGATAAGCTGAGACAAATTGATTTGAAGCTATATGGGCCATTGTACTATCGTGACTTTATAAAAGTGTTTATATATAAAAAATCAACGTATTTGACAAGAACTCGAGAAGAAGAATATAGCTGAAATCACATGGTTGTGTCTAATCACGTGATTGTTAGATATTAAGCTTGGTATATTTTCACGCTGAATCAATTTTCAGATAAAACTCAATTGGACACCTGCAAGTGACGTCACGCACGTATGTTGAACCTGATTGGCTGCTGAATCATGGCAAAAACAAATGCCATGATTTACCCGCATGTGACGTCGCTTGCATGTATCCAATCGACATTAGGTTTAGCTTTCTTGTTAACTGCATGAATGATTTGTTTGAACTTGAGATATTTACCATTGTATTACTAGAGGTATCTGCTTCTAAATCGACTTTTATTTTGACTTCACCTTTTCGGCTCCCGCCACCAAAATTCACTCTCCACTGCAGGGTAGTTTCCGGCTGTTTACAGGAAGGTCCTATTCTCACAAGAGCGATGGCCACCAACCTGTCATGGTCGGGATCTGAACGGAATCCTGAGAGAAAAATCACATTTACATATTTGTTTGCTGATGGTTTACAATTTTAAAAAATCATTTCGGTGTAAATAAGTTTACTTACCTACGTTCGATAAAGCAGAAAATTTTAGTCCTGCAACTTTATTACCGTCGAGGGGGTTGTCGTGTGGATGATAGAAAGGTTCAGTTTGCATATCCACGCATGGAAGGTTCCTCCCGAAAGATTTCACCTTCAAACCACAAAGACTGATATCTCTGGTGGTTCCTTCTACTTCCATCACCACGGTGGAAATGGTTTGTATCTTTGTGTCCAGCCAAATGTCAACTTCGGCCAAATGACCTGGTACGATTTTTTTTTCAGCATCGTAGTGAGCAGAAGCGTCAGGCCATTGACTCTAAATATTTTGAAAGTAATCGATGTAAGAAAACTATACACTTATTAAAATTCAAATTAATTCAATAACATTTCAATAATTCAATGTTTTCTTCACTTAGACGAGAGCAAAAATAGTGCTTCACATCAGTTATGACAGTATCGGACTGTACACATACAATATTTAGACGCAGTTAAAAAATAAAACTAAACTAAGCTCAGTCCTACAGCCTGACAGCCCAAGAGGGCCAAGGCCTACTGTGCCCATCTCAGTTTTCTTGACCTTGAGCAGATGTTCCGGTAAGGTGGTCAGCCGAACGCGGAACCCCCAGTGTTTAGTTCTCAAGCATGCTTGTTACTCATTTATCCACTGAAGGAATGAAAGGCTGAGTCAACCTTGCCCTGCCCGAGGATCAAACCAGGGACCTGTGGCACGACAGCGTTAAGCGCTACCGCTCAGCCACCGGGCGTAGGTAAAAAATAAGTAAGCTAATAAATAAACAAGAATTGTGCTAATAAATGTTTATTTTTTGTCTCAAAAAACGACTGACAAAGCAAGAGAAAAGTAAAATAAAAACATTAAGTAACTAATTCACTTTTAAAAAATGAAATCCAAAAAAACACTTATCTGTATTACTGGAAATGAATTACCTTTAAACTGATTATTCAAGATCAGAAATACTTATATTTTGATTGACATTCCCAAATTTAAATCTAAAAATATTATTCCTCAATAATTTTAATGAACAAGGTAAAAATCAAATCATTCATGGGGTTTATTTGAAGTAAGATCGTAATAAATTTATATTTATTGGCAGTTAATTGCTAACGAACTGGGACAAAATCAAATCACTCACATATTTGATACGAAACAAGATCATTCATGATTTATGCTTATTGATCGTTAGTTTGTAGTAAGCTGGGATAACTTTAATACTTAATAAGGACAAGATAATTTTATAATTATTCTAAACTTACTAATGCTACATTTATTAGTTTATATTGTATTGAAGCTTAATTATATATAAAAAAGTATAAATATACATAACTTTAATTTAAAATTATAATGATTTTATACTTTGACATAGAGAACTACACTTTTTAGATACTTTATGATAAAATTGAGGATTTTGCGAAGATAAACATATTTTTGAAGAAAAAAAACATGTTTTTAGTTTACCTCTTCTAAATCAGGTGGTGGTGCCTTTTTCATCGTATAGTTGGCCATCGCACTCCAAATTGTATTTTTAGAGATCAACAAGCCGGAGCTAATGGGGTATTGTTCATCCTCCTTAAATGTGGTGCCTTCTGGCATTTCAACAACTACAGAGACTCTTGCAAAGTTCTTTCCATCGACAGGCAAAGCTCCTACATCTCCCAGCATGATACTCGTCATGTCAGGCTTTAAACGATTCTTTGGATCGCTAAACATAGATACATAACAGCACGTTAAAAATGGCATAAAGCTTTCAAAACTCGAAAAACGTTAAAAGAAAAACCTTTTCACAAAAAGCAGACATAACCACACATGTAATGTAAGTAAAATATTTCGAAGCTTTCAGAAAAAGCTTTAAGTTTAGGTAACTAGGCTAACTGCGTCCGTCAGGCTAACTGCGGAATGTTTTCGTGGTTTTCATCGCCATGTAACGCAAATGCGGGATAGTTTCATCAAAAAATCCTCTAGGAATTCCCTTGTCTTCTGGATTGGGCTCAAAATTTAAAGGGTACAGAGTTGAACATTGGTAGTCGTGCACTCAAAATTGGATCGTCTGTTCAATGACGGTTATAGAATTATAATATAAAATCTATGTTGTGAGAGCCCAAGTACTCGCCTTCCAATGACGGGACTAGTGTTCGAATCCCAGCGATGGTTGGTTAATACGAATTCCGCATCTGGCTTGCTCCGACCGCAGTGCTGANATATTGACGCTACTATCATTACTGTATTTCTGAAGTTTTAATACGCGTCTATTTTTTTTCATTTGGACAACTCTAATAGATTACGAAAATGATAAATAAAATATGGGTGATTTAAGAAAAGGTTGTGTGTTCTTATAGAAATAAAGTAAATAAGTGTTCACGCAAGTCAATAACAAGGACAAACATATTATCGGGAACGATGTTAAAAAAACTTGTCCCCATAAATATCTTTGAATTCATCAAATTTCTATAGCTTTTAATTATAAGCTCGTTAATAACTGAGGAGAAATAATAACTAATTGTAAAAATAGATTGCTTGTAATTGTGATTTAACCCAAAGCACGTAAGCTACTATGCGAGGATAAACATGTTACTGAGAACAATGTTGGCACTAATATAACAATCTATGTTGTGATGAGGTGAAGGGGGTTCGAATCCCAGCGATGGCTGGTCTATACGAATCCCGCATTCGGCTCGCACTGATCACAGTGGTGATGTAAAAATATCCTCAGTGATAGACGAATCAAGAGTTAGAGTCCCCTTTCCGTCAGGCTAACTGTGGAATGTTTTTGTGGTTTTCATCACCATGTAACGCAAATGCGGGATTGTTCCATCAAAAAATCCTCAAGGAATTCCCTTGTCTTCTGCATTGGGTTCAAAATTACAAGGTTACAGAGTTGAACATTAGTAGTCGTGCACTCAAAATTGGGTCGTCTGTTCAATGACGGTTATAGAATTATAAAATAAAATCTGTGTTGTAAGAGCCATGGTGGTTTAGAGGATAAAGTACTCGCCTTCCAATGACGTAACTAGTGTTTGAATCCCAGCGATGGTCGCATCTGGCTTGCTCCGACCACAGTGCTGACGTAAAATATCCTGAGTGGTAGGCGGATCATGGGTTAGAGTCCCCTTTCTGTCAGACTAACCTTGAAAGGTTTTCGTGGTTTTCCCCTCCATGTAACTCAAATGTGGATTAGTTCCATCAAAAAGACCTCTACGAGGGCAAATTTTTTCTAATACTTGAGTGTCCCCTTGTATTCTGGATTGGGTTTAAAATTACATGGCTACGGAGTTGAATATTGGTAGGCTTAATTTCAAAATTAGGACGACCATTCAACGCTCAAACAAAAAAAAAACTATGTTATGAGCAATATTCTATAGTCCATATTAAACACAAAAGATAAGAAGATAGGATATGAAAAAAAAGATATAATTAAACACAAAGGCAACAAGAAATTCTTGAACATTATTTCATATCATTTTACTAAACATCAGTAAATCTTACGTTTTAGAATATTTGGTAAAATTTGCGTTGACCTCGTCCTGATGCATACGAAGACAGGGTATATTTCGGCCAACATCACTTAATTCCGTTCTGCAGACATGGACTGCGGGAAGTGGAGGATTATTCTCACCGGAAGCTTCCATAAACACACCTGCGTACCCTTGTCCTCTGGGTATAAGCATGGTAATGTTGAGTACAACTGCTCCACCGAGGTATAAGTAAGGCCAAGCAACACCATTTTCGACAATCATATCAGGAGATTGATAATCACCCTAGAAGACATTTTTAACGTACTTTAATGCATTTATTTTGATATTTATTTCGAGCTGATGGTTAATTAGTTTTATTATACTGTCAAATTGAGTTACAAAAATAAATAAACAAAAAACGAATTTGAACTGAATTTTCTTAAATTTTAATATGATTCGTTGAAAGTTATCGTTCAAAAATTTCTGAATAAAATGGATTTTTAGATTGGTTTTGGTTAGATTGACTGAAATTTTTTCCCAAAATTTTTTACTTATACTGCCACCTATTCTCTCAATCACCCCTCCCCATTAAATCAAAATTAAAAATTAATCGAATGAAAGAACACAATTTTCTTTTTGCAGAATTAATTCAAATTTGTTTTCACGAATTTAGTTTCCAATGTTACCTAATAATTTTCTTGGCTACCATTGCAATTTCATCCAACTTGTTTTTGCTAGTTAGTTAGGTTATTATGAAAACTCCTTAATATTTTTTGCCAAAGTGATTATTTAGTAATAGTACAAAAAGTTAAGTCTTGATATTGCTTTAGAACCTTAAAAAGTTATTTTGTCTTCTTTGTTTCAACTGCATACGTTGTTTAAGTACGTTTTCGAGAAATAAATATAACTTATTTACTGTTCAGTAATTGTAAAGCGTTGTTAAAACTCTCCTAAAATTTTATAAAGCGTTTATCTTTACAGGTGATTGAGACTATGGAACTGGCTTGGAGTCACCAGATGGAAAAATGAAGAGAGGTAGGTGAAAAGAATCTCGCGAAGTATGGTGATCAATGAGAGTAACCGATTTAATTGGCCGAGTTGGAATGTTGACAGAGAAATCGCAGTGGACAATAAGAGAGAACCGAAGACAGAGATAGCGGCCCCATGCGCCTTTCAAATATTGAGAACTTCAAGGCCAAAGCACAAAAACAAAAAAGAAATATCTTCTGTTATTTAAAAATTACCCAAGAAAAACATATTCCTTTTATGTCATTTTTATAGGAAACAATAAATATGCGTATAATTATTGATTGGTTAGATTTAAACTAATTACAATTAAAAAAAATGAGATAACTCAAGCTAAAATTCTTGATGGTCCCATCAAACATTTTGATGGTTTATGTTGGTTTCAGTGATATTCATGATGGTCCGAACTCATTTGATGGTCACCATCATCCAATATTTTCTATTATGCGCTCATGGTTTTTGATATGCCAACAGACTTCCATCATTCCATAATGGAAAATGCTACAAGTTTGATTCTCATGGACCAATAATCCATGACGATCCGTGATGGTTCATGATGGTTCCAACTCAACTATACATTCCCAAGATGTTTTAATGGGAGTTCCTGTTGGTTTTCAGGAATATACCATCAAAACAATTTGTTTTGTTTTTTTACATTGAACCATTATAAATCTGCCCGAATTCCTACATAGGAATGATGGTTGTTCACGATTGTTCCAACATTTAATTTCTAAAGTGCTATAATGGAAATTCGTGATGATTCATAATGGTACAACAATGCATTTTCATGATTGTTTAATAATAATTATTGTTGGTTCAGCAGGTACATACCAACAAAACAAATTTTTTTTAATATTGACACATCAGAAATCAGTCCGAATTACTTCTTTGGGATGATGGTTGTTGATGATCGTTCCAACATTTGATTTTTAAGATACTATGCTAGAAATTTCTGGTGGTTCAACATGAACAAACCATCAAAACAAGTTGCTATTCTTATGTTGGACCATCATAAATCAGACCGAATTCTCACCTTAGGGTGATGGTTACTTATGTTAGTTACCATCAAAAATATAATGGTTCCTGATGAAATTATTGATGGTTACCATCAAGATTATGCTGGTCCATCAATGGAAAACCATCAAAATTTTTCATTTGGGAAGGTATCTCCAATAAAATGGCTCCGAAACTGATTTTTAAGTAACAAACAAAGAATTACCGGAAGAAGTTTTAACATACTTTCTTTTGAATAGTGAGAGCTGCAACAACCACCTCATGTTCTGGTTTGCCTTGAGTACCAATCTTTATTTTTGGTGCCAGTTGAGTATTCTCGTTATTTACGCTCAAGTCACTTATTTTCATGATGAGGTGGATATACATCATGGAATCGTTATAAATAGATGGTGTTCTCTAGAATGTATAAAGTTTTCCATTAAAACATGACTGAAATTCTTTTATAAAAAGTCAGGGTAACTATATATAGCATTGTTATCTTATTCAGTGTCAATACAAAGTACACATTTTGCTATTTATAAAATTTTTTAAATGGGATTCTAGCAAATTATTTTCATTCAACTCTTTTTAAATAAAAATAAAGTTCTTAAAACCAAACATTTTTTTTCATTACTTATTAAATAGAATTCAAAGTGACAAACTCTCATGCTGAAATACTTTAATAATATTTATAATCTCGTTACTGCAGAAAAATAACTTGACCAACGTATTAAAAATTGGCTTATGCGCTGACATGTTGTTTGAAGAGTTAAACACTATGAATTGGCTGCAAAAAAAATTTCTATATAACATTCTAGTTATAGTTTTAGATCGAAAAACATCTTAACTGCAAAAAAAGTCAAGTTATTGACGCGTTATAGTGCTACAATTTACATCTCAAAAACTAGTATTCTAGTAAAGGCTTACTTTCTGAATATATGTTGCTCATCTATAAATTTAAATACCATACATAATTTTTAATGAATAACCTACTCTTCCACTTAGAAACATTTTAATTCATTTTAAGCACTTTGAAATATTTTAAATTATAGCTTTTTTTCATAATTTATCGTCAATACGTTGGTGTACTACATGAGTGTTATAGTCTGCGATGATAATTACAAATAGGACCGAGTTAATCGATTTTATCTAATGTGTTGCTGACCGATACACTCTTATGCATCACTGGTCGACAAGAAAGACCTCTCCAGCTTGTGAAAAAAAACTTATTGCAACATATTTTTTGTTATGTTTTTGTTAGTATGTACTAAACTCGATACTGACATGAAGCTTATGTTTGTTTGTTGTAAGTATTACGATTTCCTTGATCAACTGATTACTTAGACAGTATGCAGTTTCTACCAAAATAATATATCTTATAAATCTTTTTAGCAGAATGATTATATTAATACATATTGCGCATGATGACACGGAATTTTCCTTAAGCCCATTTTTCATGCTTTTTCTCCTTATTTTGCATTAATTTAGACCAACATAAATGAAAAAATATTTAGAATTTTAATAATTTATGGTTATGCAATAGGGATATATAAGTACAGATAAGGACACAAGTGTCTCTTGCTAAGTATGGACTGACGGCTTACTTCTAAACAATAATTTTTTCAAATTTGTACTTATTTTTCGTCACTTAGATCTAAGAGATATAGAAATTTATCATTGAAATTTCTTTAATTCATCAATAAAATCAATTATTTATACATTTTTGAGAAAAAAAAAACATTTCTAACTACCTTTATTGGATTTTATATATTACATACATAGTTCTGATAATCTAACAGATATATTTAGCAACTATTAGATTTTTTTTCAATAATTAAAAATATTTTTTTGTTTGCAATAAGAAAAAAAATACATAAAAGCGTCACCATTGCCTCATCTGTGCCAAAGAGTTGATATCATTATTAACGTTTTAATTTACACATAGGTTTTCATTTTCAACCGGTTTAAATAATAGATTAACAATTAAAAAAAATCAGATTTCTTCTGTTTTGTCAAGAAACATCAAAACTTACCTGCCCAGTTACATGTATTCTGTTAAATTTGAACAAAAATTTTCCGCCATCAGTTATTTCTGGATCAATGAAGGTCGTATTTAAATAAGGAACATCAAAACTTCCTTTGTAGTTCCATAATCTCGCCGAACAAGCCTCCAGCCTGGGTATACCTTTGACACGAAGAACATCTACTTCCATGACGTAATCAGCGTAACCATAGTTGGTAAGATTCGACCACAGTGTGTAAATAGCCATGTCTCCAATTGCTACTTCCGTAGTAGTCAGTTCACCTTTAGTAGATCTAACTGTAACCATCTATATTAAAGGAAAGAAAAATTTCATTAATGTTTTAAGAATAAACTGCTTTGAGGATACATTCAAAAATCACGAGACATTTACAACTCTTCGAATCTCCACACGTCATTAAATGCTATCATCTTTATGATTAAATATTGCTTAAAAATTTGTGTTTTTAAAGTTTAAAAGCAGAAGACAAATGAAGATTAATACCATAATTTGAAACCATAATAATGATACTGCAAAAAACTGTCTTAAGTTATAAAACGCCTCTAAATTCATAAATCTTAAAACATTTTAAATTTTATTTCCTTAAAACCTCCTTATTTCCTATTTCCTTAAAATTTCTACATATTTTTCGGATTCCATTTCTAAAACGTTTTGAAGACCAAAATTTTCTTTTAAAAAATTCCCGCATCCCTTGTTACATTCTTCCCATCATGGGTTGGTCCTGACAATTTAATGGAGAGAGATTTTTTTTAATTTTTGTGGGCTTTATGAGCCAAATTTTAAACATTCTAAAAATAGATTCTGTAGAAAATTTGAAGGTATCCCCTGTTTTTTTATCCAATATTTTGCAGAAAAGTATCTAAATGATTTCTAAAAATTTTCTCTTAAAAATTAAAAATAAAAATTCTTGAAAACAATTAAAAACCTGTAGAAAGTTAAAACTTCGAAAATACCAATTAATAAATTTCAAACTTTTTTTCAGGAACTTCGAAATTTAAAATAGACATTTTTATCTCATTAATTTTATCTCAATTTAAAAAAGAGACAATTTTTTTTTGTTACCCGGTTACTATAACATGCTGTATATTATTGCTGTATATTACATGCTGTGAAAATAATATTACCTTATCTGCTTTTTTCCTCTCCACAAGTTTCACTTTGAAAGGTGCGCTGTAGAGCTCTTCTTTACCAACGACAACTTTGGTGACAAAGCTCACCTCTTTTCCCAGGTTTGTCTCATTGTTCAGAGCATAAATTGCAAACGTAACATTAATTACATTTCCCCTGTCTCTGGGCTCTCGATAATTTCCTAAAAAAATAATACATTATTTTCATTAAATTCAACTTGAGTGAAGAAAATATTAAGAGGAAAGAAGGAAAAGTACCTATACAGCTGTATGGTTGGGTACGGAATAGATCACTCCCCTAGCAACAATTATACCTCGGCCCCAGTTGGGCTCAAAATTGGCTCAATATGGGTCCTAGATGAACATGCTCCGTGAAACCTATATTGGGATATCTAGATTTTTTGATATTGGTCCTATGCTGCATCAATATCGGCTTATATGAGGCCAATATAGGGCTTATATTGGTTGAATAATGATTATAAAATATGGGATGAATCTGACAATTCCGGCAGATTTTATTTGTAAATTGGCACTAAAATATTGAGTGAATCGGACAATTCTATATAGAGCCGATGTTAGTTGTAAATTGGCACTTAAATATCGGATGAATCTGACAATTCTATATGCGGCCGATGTTAGTTGTAAATTGGCATTAAATTATTGAGTGAATCGGACAATTTTATATTGGGTCCAATGAAAAGATAGTTTCTGTTGACTAGCTAGTTTGATTAGAGTGTGACGGAAGCTTAAAAAACGCAAGCATTTTAAAATCAATTTTATTGGTGGCAGAACAGACCGAATAAATTTAAATTCATTACAAAAATTCATTGACTCCTAGTTTCTATTCAGTTTCTAAATTTTCTGATTTGAATCCAAATCAACCAAGCTGTTCGAATTTGATTCATTTTCGTGATTCGTTTTTGCCCAACTCTTATAAATAAAAAAAAAAATTTTACCGTAGAACTTACCAACATTAGTCATGATACCCAGATTCATAACTGCGGAAGTATAGATGACGTCATCATCGGATCCTATTTTAGTTGTGTTGTAGAAGTAAACACTTTGGGGGACCGTATCATAATTCACGTCAAAATCTGCAACAACAACAAAAAAATGAATAGCATACATAACAGTATAATATAATGTAACAGTTTAATAAGTCAAAACAAAAAAAAATTGCACAATTTTTAAAAGTACTTACGACTTCAGTGTTTAAAATTGAAGTTTATTTGATTTAATTCATTAGACACATTTCAATGAATGAAATTAAGCAGAAATTTTTCAAAAATATCAATATGTAACTTAATAAATAAAGATATTACTTTCATATAATTTTCCGGATTTACCTCTGAGAACCTTAAGAAATCAATAAATTGGTAAAAAAGAGTTTCAATTAAAAAAAACTGTCGAAGATTGTAAATTTATAATTTACTTGGTTAACTTTTATCATCTTTTAAGGTTTCTGATTTATTTAAAACTGAGATTTGAAGAGAAGAAGCACTACATAATGAAAACAATAATAAGGAATTTATTAAGTAATTGGCTATAAGAAAATAATGAACTTTTAAGAAGTAAAGTACTTAACTATGGCAAAACAGTTTATAACACTGGAACAAAATATGGGTAAAACCAGAGAAAATATTGGTGAAATGTTATATTTTTTAAGGGGACACAAGACATTCAAAACAAGAAAGTACAATTTTCATTCGATCATTTTCAAATTTTAACAGAATATTGGTAGCGTTAATAATTGGTAGCGTCTGTGTACAAAATTTCCAAAAAAAAGATAATAATTTGTTTTAAAGTTCTAGTTGAAAGTATGGTTTTTATTGTTAGTAATTAGAAAGTTCCTCGAAAGTATTTTAATTTTTTGATGAAATTTTTACCAAAATACGTTGTTTATAGACATTTAAATTAATTTAAGGGGGTTATGATAACCGTACAAAAATATAACGTAACTAAACATTAAATTTTCATTTTGTCATCAATTTTCATTTCTTGAAAAAGCATGCTTTAATTATGTTTGTTCAATTATTAAACAATTAAATTAAGATACTTTATATTTTTTATTTTATAACCGTCGTTGAACAGCCGACCCAATTTTATGAGTTTACGACTACTAATGTTCAATTCCGTAGCCTCATAATTTTGAACCCAATCCAGAGGACAAGTGAACTCCTGAATCGAGTATTGGGAGAAATGTGCCTTCGTGGAGGACTTTTTGATGGAACTAACCCGCATTTGCATTACATGGAGAAGAAAACCACAATAACCTCCCACGGTTAGCAAGGGGACTCTAACCCATGATCCGTCTACCACTGAGGACATTTCACGTCAGCACTGTGGTTTGGGGGCAAGCCGGATTCGAAATTCGTATCGACTGGGATTCGAACCCGGTTCGCCGCATTGGAAGGCGAACGCTGAGCCATCGCAGCTCAAATTAAGATACTGATTTTATCAAATGCATTTAGAATTAAATAAGACACATCGAAGAGTTTCTGAGAAATATTTAATTACAATAAAACAAAAACTGGTGCGCAAGGGACTTTTCGAAGTGGTGAGAACAGTAAAAAATCCCATTTCGAGTAAAAGAAACTTTTTGGCAACAAGAACTACATATTGATGAATGGACCTTTACAAATTTATAATTTCATAACTCGGTAAGAAAAACTCTGATTAAATCACGATTTGTTGCCTCGTGAAGTGTATTTTTTTTAACACTAGATTGCCTAAGGAAGTCATTTTGACTGCTTTTTAATTTCAATTTGAAAAACAATGATGACATAATTTCTTAGAATTTTGTGACTTTTTGTACAACATATAATTTTTTTAATTGTTAATATTTACTAATAACTTGTTATATAACTGAAAATAATATCAAAAATATTAAAAATTAATTTTAAACAAATTTCTTTATACATTTGTCATTCTTTCACAATGCAGTCATTTTGACTGCTTTTGGGCAATATAGGTATTTCAGTCCTTCTAGTGTTAATATCTCAAAATCAAAATAATAGATATTTGAAGGATTTTCTTTCATTCTGAACGTCCAGTGTCTCCTTAAATGACTTAAATTAGAATAATTTATGTCTAGAAGAAATCATATGTGCTGCAATCTTTAAAATATGCTACTGACCTTTCACCCCTAAATTTCCAACCGTGACCACGTCTCTTTCTTCCGGCGCAATGACCTCAAAAGTAAAGTTCTCCGATTTAACAGCACAATGAGTAATCATGGTGTAAACTCCAGCACTGTCCAGAGGAATTTCTGTAGGGCCATCGATATCTACTTCAACTAGTTTTTCATCCTGTAGGTCAGATAAACAACATTACCACATTGACAGGAATTTCAAATTAACTGAAATTGTTTCGAAAATTACGATCAATATTTTTCTTGTAATTATTTTTAAAAGTAGTTAAGTTATTTAAAATGGTGAATGGTTATTTGAAATGATGAGTTAGAATTAGATAAAAAAAATTATAACGTTTGAAATACACGCTATTGATGTGGGGCGCTGAATGTTAAAAATTTAGTAAAATTATCAATTTGAATTTTAAAATTTAATTTTTGACTTCAAATTTAAGAATAATTATAAAGGTAAGATTAAATGTAAATTTTTAAATTCAATTTTAACTTTTATTTCTTTTAATTCAATTTTAATTAACAGATCGGTTACTGATGACCACTATTATTAAAATAAACGTATAAAACGTATTAAAATAAATTTCTCAGGTATCAGTATAGATTGAATAAACTCATTACAATTAAGAAAAAATGGTTTTTCACCGTTGTTATGAAGATATTTTAATTAGAAATATTTAAGAATGTTCAGCCCAAGTATAGAACAGACTGCCGAGAAGTGAAAATCCAATTTTTCAATTAATTACAGTAATTAATCTTACCATTTATCATTTTTTGTATTAAATTAGTTTTATTTTAAATTAGTTTAATCATCAACTCTTAAATTAATTCTGAAATTTATTTTTCATTTAATCCTGAATGCCATTAGAGCAGCCTGGCAGGCAAAAGATTGTCTTTTTCTTAACCTTCAATAAATACAAAATATAAATGGAAAAAAAATGCAAAATATTTAAAAATACAAGATATAAAATTATAAATCTTACTAAAATTACCATTATTTTTGAGACGCTGCTTTTAGCAGCGACAATTAACTACTAATGCAACGACAATTAACTTAAACGTATCCTAGCATCAGAAATTAATACCTTTTAACTGATGTCTAAAGGGAAAGATTTAAAAGAAATCTTATTGAAATAAGACATATTGAAAATCTTTCTGAATGTAATTTTTATTGCTATGAACATAAAAACAAGAAATGCAGTCAAAACTGTAGAAAATCTAATCTAAATAAACTAAAAAAAAATAAAAAAATGGAAATCAAGCTATACTTACTGTTGAATTATGAACAGTAACTTCTGACTGTCCGACCCAGACGTATGTTTCTTTGTCGTACTCAGCTCCTGCTGTCACCAAGTACTTTGCATCAAAGACGGTACTAGGATTTTTGATTTGAGTGACTGAGAATTTCAATTCGAGAGGTACTGGATCATCGTTCGTATTTTTCACTTCACCAAAAGTTATAATAGCCCTATCATACTGTAAAGATGAAAAGAATAAATTTGAGCAAAATTAAATATTAAAATATATTTAGATTATGGGACGATTTTATGAGTAATCAGTATCCATCTCATGGAATTTTGTGAGCAGGATTTACACTCTATAACAAAAAAATCGACGCAACAAGAAGGAGTTGTCCGATTGAAACGAAAATAGGTGGATAGGAAGACAATGTACAGAATAATAAATGATTAAAATTTCAGAACAATTGAATAATTTATTGCAGAGTTACAGTAACAAGTTCAATAAGGTGTTGACCCGCCTCTAGCCTGGATACAAGCTGCCACACGGCGTGGCATAGACCGATAAAGCTCCCGGATGGTCTCTTGCGGTATTTCCTGCCAAATTTAATCCAATTGTCGAACGAGGTCATCAACATTCCGTGCCAGATGCAATCGCCTTCCCATCATATCCCAGACATGCTCGATGGGAGAGAGATCTGGTGATCTGGCAGGCCAAGGAAGATTTTGACAAGCTTGCAGACAGCTCATGGCAACACGTGCAGTATGTGGTCTGGTATTGTCCTGCTGAAAAACCGGCCCAAGGCGCTGCAAAAGGAACGGTAGCAAAACAGGCCATATCTGTTCAAAACATTCATGCATCCGAAAATTCAAAGCAATCGGATGATTGCTTCTTGGTGCGTCGATTTTTTTGTTATTGAGTGTATATCATTGTTGTTCATAAAAAAAGATTACGACAAATAGAACTCTACCTTGAAAATTTATGAAAAGAAATTACAGCTGTACTGTAATTTATAGAGAGATATTTTAACATTTTATGTTTAGTTAACAGGACTCATAATTCAATTACGTAAAATTCGGGAATTCAAAACCTGAAAAGTATTCTTATTATTCTTTTTACTAATTTTCTCGCAGAATACAAAGTAATTAATTATTAATGAGTATTTTCGAGCATAATAGGAAAATAAAAAAGCATAATTATAAATTGAACGCTTGATCATGCTCTCAATAAAGATAAACATTAATTTTGCCCAAAGAAAAAAAAACTCTAACAAGTTGGTGATCCTTTTTTAAAAACATCCCTTTAAAAACGCGTAGCGGATCTAGAGATGAGATGGGCTCGACTTGAGCTCGGGCTCATTTATTGAAGAAAGTTTTCAATCCCCCTTCAAATCCTGCTAGCTGCCTCACCGTGGCGAGGGATTGCCACTGGGCGGAATGGGCGAAGTACGTCGGGAGCTTAGCTCCTGGTAGGGCCACCCTAGGCATGAAGGCCATTCCATTATGCCCAGCTAATGCTAGCAGGTGAAACTATGGAGCTAAATCAGTCTTCTACCTTTGGTGCTCCAGGTCACTTTCGGCCAACAGAAGCTGTAACACTTTCCCCTGTACCATGAGTCTAGTTCAATCCAATTCTCATACATGCTCATATGATTCTGCATCTTGGACCAAATGGCAAACTCAGGTTATTGGATATTATTAATCAGTCATGGAAAAGAGGTCGTGTACCACTTGACTGGAAAAAGGCGATTGTCACCCCAATAAGGAAGATGGACAAAGATGCTGGATCTCCTGAGAGTTATCGTCCCATCTCCTTGACTAGCATCCCGTGTAAAATAATGGAGAAAATGGTATTAAATAGGCTTATTTTTTATCTCGAAACAAACGAAACAAACAGTACGGTTTTAGAAAAGGCCATAGTACGATTGACCAAATCTTATATTTTTGCCAGAGTGTAAGAGACGCTCAGAATATGCGGCCCACTAATCATACTGTGGCT